GAGTCTGATGATGAGCTGTTTTCCTCACTGGACCTGGATCTGATGGCAAAGACCTGTGGTGGTCTCAGGGAGCACCGTTTTCAACTCCTTTTATTTGGTTTCCTTTCCCCTCTTTCTTTTGTCTTCTTTTCTGCTCTCTCCTTTGTAGTAGCAGCAGCGGGCAATGAGCATGGTAACGATCCACGATCTTCTCTGTCAGTCTTGCATTTATTGCTTACAGTCTTTGGCCACCACTCCCATCACTTACATGCAGCTCCTAATGAAGTCCCAGCCACAGGCCCTACCCTGCAGCATTGCCACTGTTTTTCCTTTTTTTTTTTTTTTTTTTTTTTTCTGTTAGGTCTCTCTATTACAGTCATTTTCAGTGAGAGATGTATTTTTTTTGAAGGCCACTTCTCCACAGAAGTGTCCCTGCCCATGCAGGGCGGCTGGAATTAGGTTATCTTTAAGGTCCATTCCATCCCAAAGCACTCTGTGATGAAGGACACTAAGCTCCAGATATCCTTGGACCTTTTAATAGCATGGTTATGGGTTTGCATGTGATTGTGTTGAGATCAAATGAGATGAATGAAAATCAGGAAGTACACACATTTATTTCATGAAGAAAGGCTGTATAGTTTGCAATTAGCAGAAATCTCATGGATGTTTTTATGAGATGACTATTGATGACTTTATGTATGCTGTCTTCATAAACAACTCAAATATTTAGGCTCACTCACACATTGTGAAGCAAATTCAAAGGTATCTATCTCTTGAGGAATGGATATGGAACTGTAGCAGGAAAAAGCTTCTAAGCAGTGCAACCAGAGCAAGAGATCTGGTTTTCATCTTCAAACTCCTATCTGTGGCCGAGATAAGTGAAGGGAAATGCTGGAAGCAGTTAGAGATGGTGAAGTTGGCAGATTTTCAGAGACCCTGAAGTCTATTACATTGGAAATGTAATAGGAGCTGCCTTTCAGAGAAAAAAAGCAAATTGGCTGTTGAGAAATATCTTGTCTGATGTGCCTACAGGAATGTCTTCCTGAGTTTAGACTTGGAAGAGTCAGGAGCTAGAATGTGCTTTATTCACAGATGTCTCTCCAACTTGTTTTGTACCAGCTCCCAACCAGTTGCGCTTCTTTGTTGCCTTTCGGTCACCATATTGTAAATTGCTGAGCCCTGTTTTATAGGTTTCCTTTAACCTCTGGGACCAGAGACTGATTCAGTGTGGCATGGCATATAGTGTAGAGCCTCTGCTTCTATTATCAGTAAATGCATTTTTCCAGGTTGCCATCAGAGTCAGGTCTTGAGAAGAAGCTAAACTGGTGCAGGGTCAGTTTGAGTATTCCTCTGTCATGTTTCTGGGACTACAGGTGTGTCAGAGAAAATGTGCTATACTGAGGTTGGACATGTGAATCTTACTGCATGAGCACCAAGCCATGCCACTGAAGTGTTTGTACTGTGCTCTCCATTCATCTGGACTCCAGGAAGTCACTTTGGTATAGACACACTGATGAAATGGGAACTGTTATGCCCTCTGAAAAGTTGTAGTACTACAAGCTTGCAACTGTCTGCGCATGCCCCCTTGGAAGATGCTGGACTGGGGTTTGAAAGCTTTGGTAGACCAAAGCTACTTCACCTACTTGGGCATATATGCTGTACCATCAGTGGCATGTTCTGCAGCATTGTTATTGTCTGGGATTTTTCACTACCCACGATACCTTCACTGTCTCATTACATAAGATAATGCAGAATTTATTGTATTCAGATCTTACTTACAGAGTATTTTAAGGATATTTAGGCTAATTGAATGTGATAGGTGAGTAACAGCTCCTTGATACTGAATTGTAATGTATAGGCCCAAGCAGATACAACAGAATAGATCAGGTTTATGGATCAGTTGTTGTATATACCAGAGCGTAACTTCTGTGGTGCACCTGGGAGATAGTTGAAAGTGACTTGGTTTTGTTTGCTTCAGTTTTTTACTGTGAGGTTTTTTGTGTTTTGAGGGGCTTTTTAATAGAAACAAAGCATTGCAACACGAACTAATCAATGAGTTGAATCAGAGGAGAAAGGCAGGACTGGATGGGAAGAGAATAGTGAAGCTTGATGTATTTATTTTTTAAATTTCTTTTAAAATTTACTGTCAAATGAGAAATTTGTATCTTAACTTTAGAAAGCACTTCTTTATTTTATGTATTACAAATGTAATTCTTTTGTAAATAAGGTGCTCTGTTTCAGTATCGTAGCACTCATTTGTAGATAGAGCCTTAATATATATGGCATTTAAGATTAGTGGCAGTGAGTAATTTGGGTAAATCCTGTGTAGGAGGTTAGTTTTTTTAATTTAAATATCTTGATGTAGTTAAATAATGGTTTCAGAGATCTGGGCACAGGATTTTAAACTAATGTTTACATATTTGCCCTGAGCTGAAATCCTACATAATTTTATTATTCAGATTAACTGGTGAACATTTTATGTTATAAGGTACTTCAAGTATAAATACGCTAAAAATCAAAGCTACCTACCTCAAACAGTATGCCTTTATCTTCACATTAACCCAAATTAAAATACATCAGACAAGTAAAGTGTTTATGGGACAAAGGGTAGAATATTCTGCTTTTTATTAATTGCTAGCAAATAATAATAAGAAAAGGATGTACTAACAGCCTTTTTGTTTCTCAAATTGCATTCCTAAGCACAAAGAGTTACATTGATTGCTTTCTTTGAGGCTCAGATTGTAAACCATCACTTAATAGCATCTTTAGGGCAAATGAGTCTTAGTGTATTAACTAATATCAGATGGCAACTTTTTCTTTTCAGTGCAGAGTTTTTATTTTGCCTTTGTCTTTCATTTTGCCTTAGTATGTTCCTAATTCATTAACCTACCTATATTTAGTAAAGTTGTTAAGCCTTAGTTAAACTTACGCTCTGTAGAACTGTGACATGTTTCTAAACATGAACTGAGAATTATGCAGATTTTGGACCTTTTATATTCTAAAAAAGGGACCCAGTTTGAGGCAAGGTTAGGGTGAGATGAAGCAAAATATCTGGCATGTCTCTGAACTACTGAGGCATAATATTTAATATAAACCATACCAACAATTTTGCATTCTTGTCTTAATACCTGAAATTATCACTATGCTCTGCAATCACAGGTGAGTCATTTGGGTCATGGGAAAATGCAGCCTTGTAGTGCCAGGAGGTCATGATCTTGATAAATGTTTACTGTGGATCCATAAAAACTGGTGGAAAGTACCTCTCTGTTGAGGCTGTTACACATTGTAATGTATCATGTGTCCTCAGTATAGATGAAATGAGTAACTGATGATATGGTGGAAGTGACATCTGACCCAGAGAAAATTAGTGCATCACTGTACTAGATTGCATCCTCCTGGATTAATGTTGAGACGTCTCTCTTAATCTTTTCAATTCCCTACATTCTTGGAAGTGAAAGCTTAGTGCTACATTAATTTATTTTTTTAATCCAATACAAAATTAATTAATTTACTGTTTATGAATCATTAAGAAGTGTAATCATGTTTGACCTGTGGGTTTCTAAAAAAACCCCATACAATTATAATTTCTAAATAGTTAGGGTTTATTCTAGTTTTTAAAGGTAGGAATCATTTTGCTGTCATCTCTTACCATTAACTGTGTTGCCTGTTCATTGAGTATTTTGTTTCATAAAGCATTCTTTGATATATAATTTAGACCAGATTAAAGCTTTTTCTTTTTGTTCAAGGATTAAATTAAGATATTCTTTTTTAATTCATATTTTTATTGATTGATTGATTGTTAGGCTACTAAAAGTTGCATCAGTTGCTAGCAAAGTCCTGGCTGGTCAGCTTTAGTTGAAGTGTTAGGAGCTGAAATCAGAACACGCTAGATCAGCACAGTTTTGATTTGGATGGTGGGAATGATGAAGATGAGCCAGAAGACTTGTGTGCAGGTGTACACTGTGAGTGGAACACAAAGGGTGAAACACATATTCCTAAGGGCATTTAAGACCATACTTCTGTCTAAAAAGGCAGTTTTAGCTTCCTGCTTTCGACTTGTGAAATGTGCTTGCTCCCTTCCTTTTGTTGGTGTGTTTGTGGGGCTGTGTGGTAGGTCACATCAGCTCACTGAGGAGATGGAGCTAACTCCTTCTAGCAAAAAAATAAATAAATCTGAGATGGGACGAGATGGAGAGAACATGTCATCTAAGTGTATTTGTGGGTGCTTGTGTCATGAAAGCTGTTCCATAAAATCAGTATGGGTGACAGGGATTTAACTGATGAAAATCAAAGTAGGAAACGGTATGGAACTGTTTAGAATTTAAAACTGCTTAAAGTTGGGGACAGAGACAAAGAAAACAAAGACTTCTGTGTTGTTGAGGGATTTTTTCATTTTAGGCTTTAAGCCTAAAGGCAGTTCCTGTCTTAATAGCATAAAGACAATAGTACTATGTTTTAGCCCTGCAAGTACTGTCATATTTTGCATAGTGTTACCCTTTATTTGCACTTCTTAAAATCTGGTGGCCACAAGTAATGTAGAGGGTGTCTGGTATGTTTTCTGGGGATCACGGGGGAGAAAGTAGAGGGGGAGATACAGTTTCACAAATAGTTTCTTCATCAGTAGAACTGTGCATGGCAGTCCTGTCTATGTGCTACATGATGGATCCTTCTGAGATGGTTGTAGTGTAGCTGACAATCCTGATTTTTCATTCATAACAGTTCTCCATGTGTAGTTTACCATGTATCTCCATAAATATTTGCCCAACACTGTGGGGCCTGAAAAGATTAGCTCTGTGTTGAGGCTTTCTTCTTTTATTAGCATGTTTGGCTGCTGCTATGATTGATGATTAAGAAAAAAAACCCAAAAGGAAAAAGAGTCAAAGTAAGACGGGTTTCAGCTTCATAGACTTCCCTGCCCTGTTCTTTCCACTTTCCATTCCTATCTTTGTGATTCTATAAATCTATATGTGGTAAATGAGATGTGCTGTGCATGTGTTGCAAATCACTGTCTTCTGCTTTAGCTTTTACCAGATTCGTGCATCTATGAAAATTCCTCCAAGAATTCCACACAAATTAGAAGCTAGCTTGTTACATGCAACTGGTAAGTGCAAAAACTTGTAGTAAATGAGGTCATGTTTTGCCCTGCTAATTAAGGGATCATGCTTTTTGTCTCATGTTATAACTAATATGAAAGTGTTTAAAATTCTCTTATTAACACAATAAAAACATAAGTTGTTTCATGATGACCTGCTGAAAAACTAGCTTGTTCTTAGCAATGAGACTGAAAAGTTGATTACATAATCTTGTTACTGTTTTTCTCTGTTATTTCCCTTTGCTGGTAGCAAAACATGGTGATTCCTTTAGTTTAGTGTCTTCTGTTTTTTTCTGCTGATCTACTTAGTCTTCTGCATGTTTCAGACTAAGGACAGATCTCATTTAAGTAGGTGTCCTCAAGGTAGTGAACAACTTCAGATACAGACTCGTGGATTGCTATGCCCATTTTTTTGTTAAGATTCTGAAAGGATCCAGTCTTGCTGTTTTCAAACTTGGCAAAGCTGAAAATTGGTTTATCCTCATGAACAGAGTTGCCCACTCCTTCAGCCTGTTTTCTTTTTTTTTTTTTTGAACCTGGCACTCACTTTTGGTTTCTTTGTCCAGGCAAACTGAACTCATAGAAACCTGTTAGCACACTAATTAATTCTGTAAAGCCCACACCTCAGCATGCTGTAAAAATATGAAAAGCAAAAAATGATGAAGTTTTCAAATACCAGGTGGAGTTCCTGGCATTACAAGGAAGAAAAGCCTACTACAGTTGGAGAATATTGTGATATGAGATTATTGAAATCTGAATTTTTGAGGGAATTTTAAAGTAACTCTGAATAGAGCAGCAGTGTAGGTACTGAATTTTAGTCACGCTTCGTGAATATTTCTTGCGTTTGTGTGATAGAAATAAATAGTTCTTATAAGCTGAGATTATTCCACTTCAAAGGCAAAGCTTAGTGTAATTTAGAGAATTGAACTCAGCTAAACTTATACTTTAGTAAACTAATTCTTTAATGATACGTTTATTATTGCTGAAAAAAAGTTTTTCCATTTCATGGTATATTTTAAAATCATCTTCGGTTATTTTTTCAGAAAGCTGCAATCTTGTTAGTAAGTTGTGACATGTGTTAGCTCCTTTATTTCTCTTTACTAGGTGTAAAGGATGTAAACATTCAGGCTGTAGTTTGATGTGAATTTAGATCAGCAACGCTGTCAAAAAAAAAAAAAATCAGCTGTGATTCCTCCTGGCCATTCCCATCTTAGCTTCATATTGCTCTGTGCTCTCTTGACACAAGTGTCTGAGTTGGTCTGGGAACTCAACTGAGGAGCACAATATACAGGAAGTCTAATATAGACTCTCAGTTTTTCCCTTCTTCCTGTTCTTTTGCATCTCCTTCCACCACTTGCCTAGTCCTTCCCAGCTTTTAATGAGGTTGTGTGATAATTTAAATCCAGTTTTCTCCTTTTTCTATTTCACACATCCTTTAGTAGTTCAGTAGAATTGCTCAGGACCCAGGCAGAGCGAGTGTCATTACAGATGAGATAGGGAAAGCCATTTGCTTTAGCTGTAGTCTTGTGGCATTTTTGTAATTTAAAGAGAAATGTAGTCATGGTGTAGAAACTTAAAATAATAACTTATGTAATTCTAGTTTATGTGAGGTTGTTTCAGATTTGGGTCTGTTCCTCTTTCTTTCAGAAACTTAGGGCTGGTTTTCTGGAAAAAAATAAAATAATTAAAAAACCAACCCGAAACAGCAGGTTTGGAATGAGTTGTCAATTTTTAAGATGCAAGAATAAATTAATCCCCCTCTGTTTTTCCCCCTCCATTGCTGAAATGGCTTTTAGGTGAGGATAGAAGCCTAGAAATAGTGTTGGCCAGTCAGTGCGTAGTTGATTAAAAACTAGTAGTTCTGCCTGTTGACTTTACATTTGTGAGACCTTGCTCACATCCTTGTAGATGTGGCTTAGCCTATTTCTGGTGTCAAATCTTACTCTTTGATGCCTCTCTCACTGCTGAGAGTGCCATTTAATGTTACACTGAAGTCAGCAGGACTGAGGGCTGTAACTCTGAGCTGGACACTTGCATAGGACGTGGGACCTCGACCACATGTCTCCATTACTTCTTTTGTAACAGACTGGAGTGGGAGATCCTTTTTGCTGATACTCTCTGGTTATATCAGATTACCTGTCATGTGAAACCGTATCTGCTGTGCCCTTCACCTGTAACAGATGACACAGATGGATATAAGCTGAAAGTGGCATTATATATGGGGGAATTATTCTTTAATGATTCAGCCTTTTTAGGCATTTTGTCCAGGACACCTAAATTAATGATGTGTAGTGAAGCACTTCAACAAAACCTGGTATTTTTACTTGTTTCTAGTTTTTAAAGGGAAGTTGAACTAAGATATGTGAATATTATAGAGTGGGAGTATTTGCCAGGTGTAGTGATTTTCTGTGAGAGGCCTGTATACCCCAAATCTGTAAAGCACAAACATTGCAGGTATTTTTTTTTTTTAGTGGATTTTTTTTGAAGTGATGTATTAAGAAGAATAAAAGCAATTTAAAATTATGTTTTGCACCCCCATTTACACAATTTCTAAGACTTTGTGTTCTGGAAGAGGTTAATGTTGCTGAGCCTGCTTGTTGAGGAGTGATAAGAAGGTGTCTGTATTTGTTAGGTTTGTTCTTCCAGGTTTCATCTTCTTTTATGTGTTGTTTCACAGGATAGTGCCCCTTCATGATATTTCCTTGCTGTTATATTAAGTACTTTCTCAACAGCTGTTTTAAACCATTCCCTTTTTCATTTCTTCTATACATCTTTCAAACTTTTTTTGGCAAAGGATTCCCCAACCATTTATGACACTTTTCTGAACTCTTTTTGGTGAGCAGCCTCTGGACTAAAAGCAGAAGTGTCATATTGAGTGAAAAATGCAAGGTTCAGGTAATACACTTGGAACTGGTCTGGCCAGAGTAGTATGCAAAGATATGGAATGAAAAAATGAACCACCTCAGTTCCTGATTAATGCAGTGGCACAGTAAATGTCATTTAACCTCTGCCTCATCCGTAGGTAATTAAGAGTTCTCAGTGTGCTTAAACTTGCAAATCAGCATGAATGCTGGATGAAACAAGACAGATTTCAGGATTTTTATTACAATTTTTGATTACTAGAATGTCTTGGTCCAATTTGCAACAAAGAAATTACATACAAATATTGGCACAATGTTTCTTTGAAACAAAATGCACTCCTTCAAAGCCCAGCAGTTGCTGACTGAAGTGGTAACTGCTGATTTTGTTGGTGTTACAGTTTTAATGGTGCTCGTGAAACTGATAGGACAGATAGTTCTGCTTATTTGCTGCTTCAGGGTTTTCAGATTCTAGGGCAATTATATTAACTCTTATTTCTCTTTTCAGGTGCAGATCTTGCTTTTCCTGCTTCAATCCAAGACAATATAGTGTGCAGTAAAACATTTCAGATTCTTTACAAAAATGAGGAAGTTTCTGTGAATGATGTGATGATTTTCAAAATAAAAATGCTTTTAGATGAGAGGAAGGTAATCTGCCATTCAGCTTTACTATGTTCAGATATTTAAGTCTTCATTATGTACAGTTTGGATGAGTATAAATAAGGGACATGAAAAGATTACATACTTCTATAATTTCTTTTTAGATTGAGGAATCTCTTAATGAAATGAATTTTCTGCTAACATTAGATCTACACTTCACGGATACAGACTATTCGTAAGTTTAAATTTAGAACATTTTATTAAAGCAACAATATATGTTAACTTTTTAATCTGATTAAATTTGTATTATTTATAGATGTAGTGTGTTCATATTAGACATATATGAGGGTAAAAAAGAAACCCAATGCTGAAGTCTGCTGAGGCTTCAAAACTGGTATGTCTCATTCTGATAATTTCTTTTGTATTTTTTTCCTGGGTAAATGTCATTGCATTCCAAGTTATAATCATATAATGATTTTCTATCCACATCAGTTGTTAATAACTTGCACTTTGAATATTGTTGTTCTAACTCTATATTGGTTTTTTTTGTTTATTTTTAGACCAGATGACCTGAGCACACTACAGCCAATTAGTAGCCGAACTTTAAAGTTGCACTTTAACTTACACCGGGGCCTTCACCATTATGTCAATGTCATGTTTGATTACTTCCACCTTTCTGTCATATCGGTTGTAGTCCATGCTTCCTTGGTTGCTCTGCATCAGCCACTGATAAGGTGATCTCTTGTTTATAAAATACAATTAAATTATTGAGTGTCAAATTGGAAATGTTATAAAAGTACCACACTTAGGAAGGAGCTAAATCTATGGCTAAAACAGTTTTCTTTATGATAATTTTGGAATTCAAGGTCTAGAAAAAAAACTTCTAGTTTTTTAAGTTCCCTGGGGCAAATTATGACTTTGTTTTTGTTAGAAATAAGAGTATGTAGTGTAGAAGAGGGATAATATCCAAGAGCAGAGAAGTGGAGGAATGTATAAGTAACTGTATCCATAAATGTATCTTTAGATGTGTAACTATTTATACATTTTCTTAATCAGTAAGATCTGCTGCTCACTCTAGTTAGTGACTGAAATAGGTGCCATTAATACAAATAGGGCATCTTCTGTTAGCTATCTCCAGAGTGTTCTGTTCGTACTGTATCAGCAATTATGTCTGCAGATTATGCATATACCATTTTCTAAGGTAAATGGAATTGGAGAATTTAATTTTCCTCTTTAAAAAGCTTTTTCTAGTTCTTACTGTAGCCGTTTTATCTTGTTGACTTGTGTCACTGTTTACAATCCCAGTTTACCTCACTCGCCTGTCGCAATACTGTGAAAAAGGGCCATACAGTCAGTCACGCACCTGAAGTGTTCATTACAGCTTTTTCTTCAGCCCATCTATCTTTGCCTTCCTTCATGGTCTTCAAATATTTTATGCTACTTCCCTCAAGTTTCTTCATATTCAGATGTCCAAGCCTGTAGCCTAAGGTATTCCCACTGCTTGTCCTTGTCTTCACATCATGGAAGGCTATGTCTCTATTATGTTAGGTGGCTGTTCTGTGCAGTAGGACTGTGCTGATTTGGAGGATTCAACTGGCTTTTTTTCTTTTATGTCTTTTTTCCCCTTCCAAGTTGGATTCTCTTAGTGATGTGTTTTAGGTGTGGTTATATAGTAACTGAACTATCACATCTGAAGGTATGGAGCAGCCTTATTTGGGAGAGAAACAAATAGTGAAGAGGTGGGAGTTACCTTAAGCTGAAAATGTTGTTGAAAACTATATCTGATAAAATAGTGCACTTAAAGTAGCAGCATGTATGTAAAGTGTAAGTTGTCACACCATACCACAACTGAAATTCAGGCTTTTCATTTCAAATTTCTCTTCATTGTGAGAAGAAAAAAACCCAAACCAACAGGCTTTGCTACTGATTTTCAGCAGAAATGTGTTTGTCCCTGCTGACTTTTTTAAAGGCTGCAGAAGATCTGGGGTTTTTCTCACAATTTTTTTCTCATTTTTTGTCTTTCAAGTGATGATAAAATAATGCTATTTAATTTTAAACCTCAACTTAATATAGCTTATGTAAGGAGAAACTGGAACAAACCAGCAGTTTCCATACTGCTTCTGTTAGCTTTACAGTAGGTGTTACTGGTGTCTGTAAAATTATTTTAAGGATCCAAATTGTCCTTTAAATCTTTTTGGGGTGGGGAGAAGAAGCGGCTTTCAAATTTACAGTGTTTTATCTCAGCTGGGCTGTCCCATATTGTAATAGTTGGCAAATACTTTATTGTTGCCATATCCACATTCCACTTGCTTTCTTGGAAAACCTGAACATTGCAGACTTCACTCCCCTTCATCCTTTGGGCTTTCCTGGGTGACAGTTGGCTCTTCTGTTTGGGTCACACTCTCATTATTGGCATCCCTTCCTTTCCTAGGAGGGTTGCTTGCTGGGTGTTTTCATTTTCAGAGCAGCATCCAGGTTCTCCTTCTCTCAGGAGCAACCAGTATTAACACTTCCCTTAAAAGAAAGTAGATAGTTGGTTACAGCCCTGAAGTCCTGTTCAATCTACTCTTTTTATTAACGTGTCATTGCTTATTTCTACCCATTATCTCAAAGGCCCTACTTTCTGTGTTCATTCATCTTTCACTGATTTTTCCTAGCTCTGTGTCTTCACATGGCTGCTGTTGTAGGATGCTCTGTTGTCCCAGAGATTCAGGATGGGCTTTCCTCCTCAGTAGGCAGAGGTCAGGTATTGCCTAGGAAAACAGCAACACTAGTTTGTTTTCCGCAAACTACTTTCCAACTGCTTGCTACTGCTTCACTTCTAGGAGGTAAAGTCCCCACAGCAAAGTTGGCAGACAATGAATGGCTCTTACCTGTTACAGTTAAAAATTTCTCTGTATGGCTTAAACTTTCAGGAATATTCTTTAATTCATTGAGGTTTGCATTGGAAATAAGGAGGAAGAGCCTCCACGGTCTAATGGCACAGTCTGCTGACCTTCATGGTGAAAGATGGCAGCAGAAGAGTGGAGTGTAATAATTCCTTAAATTCCTCCAACTAGCTGGAGATATGCTTTAAAGAGAAATGCTTACTAGCACTGCTCCCCTAAAGCAGCACCAGAGACTAACTGAGGTATCTGGACAATCCTGAGGATTTTAAAAGGGCAGCCCACCATGCTAGGAACTCCCATGATACTACTGAGAATCATTGTTTCTATACTTTTCAAGAAAAATCAAGACTTTAACTATGATAGATTTGTGACACAGAGTATGTTAAAACTATCAGTTAATTTGTGCTTTTTGCAGTTTTCCTCGCCCGGTGAAGAATACATGGTTGAACAGGAATGCACCAGCACAAAACAAGGACTCCGTGGTTCCTTCTCTTGAAAGTGTGGTCTTTGGCAATAACTACACAAAACAGTTATCAGCAGATGTAAGAATATATCAGTATAACATTATATTTTTATTTTGTCGGATGGTGTGAGTGTTATATTTTCTGCAGAAATACTACTTGATAAATAAGGAACTTTTTTGACTTACTGTGCTGTACCACATGATATTGAAAATGAGAAAAATGGTTCCAAAAGGTTATGTTACATGCCTAAGGAACAAACAGATGGAAAGCTTACAATATTTAGTGTTTAGTCATGTTTTTAAGATACTGCAATCCACTGAAAATCACAGAAACATGGATGTGGTTTGCGAAGAGACAGTTTGTCCATCTGTCTTTTTTGTTATTCTGCTAACCCTTCATTTACTGTACAGGATTAATGTGCCTCATCTTTTTTTTTTATTTTTTTTTAGGGTTGCAGTTTTGTTGTTTCAGAGTCTTTCCTCAGCCATGCCTATAATTTTCACTATACGCTTTGTGCCAGTTTACTGCTTGCTTTCAAAGGGTTACATAGCTATTTCATTATGGTAACAAAGGAGCTCCCTTCTTCTCACCGAATTGAACTGGGTATGTTGATTTGAATAAAATGCATCACTTTCCTGTCGCTCTTTATTAAGAATACCCCTCTTCTAGACTAAACTGGCATTAATTTCCTACGTCTTGTGTATCTAAAATCTTCTTGCTGGAATTTAATAACTCAAGAAAAAAAGGAAACAAATACTGTCACATTACTAATAAAATGAGGAGATAACAGCCTGCATTTATGCAAATACATTTTTTCTTGTTGGTCTTGATTTGCCCTGCTATTTCAAATCACTGTGTCTGGTGGTGTGAAAGTTCCAGAATCTCTTAATCCAAGTAGCATGCTGCTCTTGTTTGTTTGTTGTGAGGAGATACTATATATTTGTATAAATTAGAACTCTGTAAATTTTGATTTAAGAAGACTATTAGAATGGAAACTTACCTGAAAAAAAGACCTACAAGAAGAAATTGCTACTGACTCAGTTTGTAGTGCAACTTTATAAATAGTCATTGTCACTTGAGAAAAAAATCTGACTAGACAAGAAATTACGAAAAGATCTGAATAGGCAAGAACTCTGTGTAAAGCTGAGTAGATAAATTATGCTTTCAGAGAAGCTATTTATTTAGAAAAGTTAAACTCTTACAGGACAGTTTCATAGAAAGAAATTTCAGTTCTGTGACAAAGAAGACTTCTAGTAACTACATTTGATAAAAGTAGCTGCAGAAATACTACATGAAATGTAAATTATGGAAATGTACATTAGATTTCTGTAGAACACAGGTGTTTTAGAGAGCCCAGCCTCAGCCTGTGAATCGGGAGAGCAGTAAAGTAAAAAAGAAGAATACATTGGCATTGTAAAATATTATTCAGACTTTTTCCTCATCAAGCATATACCTTTTTAGTCATGTAAATTATATTTAAATCTGAAAACTAGATATTTTGCAATTTACATTTATTGTAGACAGCATTTATTGATTTTTGTATTGTTTAATTTTACCAATGTCAGAACTAACCATTATGAAACAATCAGTTTGTAATTTGATTTATGAATACTATTTTTAAAACGTGATATGGTCAATTAGTGGTTCAAACAAAGAATGTTTCACTTCTATATCATAGACTAGATATAAGGAAAAACTTACTTAGGATGTGAGTGGTGAGACAGTGGAACAGTTTGCCCAGAGAAGTAGTAGATACCCCATTCCTGGAAACATTCAACATCAGGTTGGATGGGGCTGAGCAACATGATGTAGTTGATGATGTGCCTGCTCCCTGCAGAGGGTTGGACTAGATGACCTTTCAGGGTCCCATTTAACCCAAACCATTCTATGAGTCTATGATTCTAAAATACAAAGCTTTTGTTTTTTTTATTTTATTTTTGAGGAAGGGAGGGAGTGCATTATAAATCTGTGCATAGAAAAATAGCAGAAACTGAAGCTTTTTCTTCATAGAAGCAAAGCTGCTGCTACAGTTATGGTGCAAGTAATATTTCTGTGTCAGTTATCTTAATCTTGATATGAAAGGAAACACCCTATTAAAGGAAGAACTCAACCCTTACTCTTCCTTTTAAGGCTTCTTCCCAGGTAGAATCTGTTGGCACTACTGTTGTTGTAAGGATAGGCTTAGACTAAATCTGATAGTTAAATGTTTCAGTTAGGACCTTTTATTCCCCATAAACATTCCTACAAGACATACATGTAGTAGAAAAAAGCCAGCCATTGAGTTGCATAGTTGGCTTGTATCTTTCAGACCTCAATGAACATTTTCATAAGCTTCAGTGGAACTTGAGTCAGACCTTTTGTCATTTCTGAGGGTAATTTAGCTTACCTTTAGGAATGCAAGCTGAAACAGAAATGCTCAGAATAAATACATGAAGAGAAAATTACTGCTTACATTTAACTTTACATTCATTGTGCCTATTCTGCTGACAGCTTTTTTCCTGTGGGTTGTTTTTTTTTTAAATTATTTTTTAAGTCTCTATTAGAATTACTTTGTTTTCTTATTTGGAATTTTTTTTTTAAATTTATTTTAGTTGCTTTGTGTATACAATGATTGAGACAATTCATATAACAGAAAGGTCTAACAGTGTAAATATTAATGATGCTACTGTTACCTTTTGCTCTTGAAAAATAACTAATGCCTGCCATTAATGCTGACTTTTCTAAAATCCATCAACACTGCAAAATGCTGTTTTTGTGATGTCTATAAAACAATCAAACCTCGCTAGACTTCACAAAGTGCACAATTGTAATTTGCTTTTTTTTACTTTTTAAATTAAATTATTTGTTTTGTAGTGAAGATTTTATATGTGAAATTTAAATGGGCCTTGCAGAAGAGAATCTCAAGTCCTGTTTAAATCCCAGAATCATCACTTTTTTTGTTTCAAATTTAATTATTATCTCTTTAATTGTGTTTCTTTTATTTGCTTTGCTATTGCTCTGTCATATAATTTTAACACCAGATAGTGATTTTGCAGAAGCATGTGCAGACAACTGTCAGTCTCAGTAGCTGTAATTGAGCATTTAAGTATTACTGGTTTCAGGAAAGTAATCCTAGCTTAATGTACATCATGGGTGATATCTAGAAACTACACTAAAATTATATGCTTTCATTTGCTGATCTAACTGCACTAATTGCTAGGCTAGCAGTAAGCTTTTTTTTTACTAACTTTAAGGCAAATAATAAATCACAGATGAAAAGAGGAGTGTAGTAACTAGTCATATGTGTGCAATCCCTGTAACTAGCCAAGGCCAGCATGCAGGTCCTTTATGAACGCCTTCTCAGAAGAAAATATCCACGTACCCAGAGAGACGCCTACCTAGGTATGTTTCCAAAGCAGGTGATACAATCCCTCACTATTGTATTAATAATACACAATTTTATACTCTTTATTAATAATATGAAGGATTATATTGGTTTTGTAATCAGGAACATTATTTCACTATTCAGCCTTAGTGAACTTATGTTGAACTGATGAAGTCTACAGAATGGAGCTACTTATTTCTAGGTTGAAAATAAGAGATTATTAGTGGCTTTTATTTACTGTTGTTCTGTTTTACTAAACTGAAGAGTTCAGTCACTTGTCACCATTTAAACAAAATAGCTAAAAATGAAGCTTTCTTTTAATTCATCACAGACTCCATTTTTAGCTAATAGACAAGTATATTTTCTTAATGAGAAATCTTTCAGATTGCTTCTGGAATCTCAAGGCTTGATTCTTCCAGTCTCTGCACAAGACATTCTCAAAGCTTAAGGTGCATTTGTCCATATCTAAATGGCCATTTCTCCCTTTGGAGAGTGTCAGTGTTGGCCTGATGCTGGACAAAAGACAATGGTTTGTGAAGGGAAAATAATAAAATGGCAGTTCAGTCTCATAGTAGATCACCATTTTAATAATATCTAACTGCATTTTGGTTTTGTTTTAAAGAGAAAAACAAAAAACTATTTTTAGCCAGAAAAATTCTATCAGTATTTACTGAATTAAAATTACTGCTGAAGAATGGTAATATTTAAGTTCCTTTTGTCTTGTTTTGTTTCTACTCTGGTTTTGATTGCAGCTTTTTATTTAAAACATTGTAGCTGTAGTGTATTTCCTATAATGACTTTAGACTTCAGAGTTTAGATCTTGTTCAAAGCCTATTCTCAGTTGCAGTGTGACAAACAAGATGAATAATCATGTGTCCCAAAAGTAGTATCATATCTTAAAACTGTTTTCATATACTTTCTGAACAATTATCATCAGGTACCGTTTAGCTAATACAGGAATATGTTGTTGCTTTCAAGAACATTTTCTAGACTTGTTCTTGAGAACCTAATGGGTGTCTGCCATTTGAATATTTCCTCAGAACTTTGAGATGTTTGAGCTATTTTGTTTGGCATTAAGTTTAAACTTAAGTATAATGCATGCAATTAGTTGAAAATCTATATACCCTTAACAAATCTAGGTGGTATCATTCAAAGACAAGTTCAGTAAACCCTCTGTTGACATGCTGTAAGCCTACATTAATTATCCATATCCTAAATTGGTTATTGTGGGTTTCAAGGCCTGTTTTGTTGTTGTATCCTTTCAAGAAACATTGTCAGCTTTTTCCTAATTACTGTGTTTCAAAAATGAACTTAAATATAAATATTTGTTACAGATAATCCTTGGGTTTACACATTGGCCTGCTGTTTCTTCTATTACAGACGTAGAAGGAAATAAAGACATCATAATTAATTATTATTTCATTAATCAGATTTTCTTGAGTAGAATAAGAATTATTAATTTGGAATAACATCTTTATTGGAAGGAATAAATCTGTTTTCTTTATAAGAAAGTCATTGAAGGTTCAGATTCACTTTAAGCTGCCAAACAATGGAAGATTGATTTGTTCTTAATATTGATATATTGAAATACCAATTAAAGAAGAGTTTTGTTTGAATTATATATTCCTCAGACATTGAAAAAATTGCATTTATATCCATGTAGCTTGCAAATCACACCTGTAGAAAAATGGTTTTGAAATAAGATATCACTAGAAAAGTCAGGTAGAAAAGGAATTGTATTACCTTGGTTGTGAATTATGACATCGCTGCTGAATGGCTGAGCAGCCTTCAATGGATAATCTTCAAACTGTATCAACTAAGTTACAGTATTTTTAAGTATAATTTTGAATGGAAAATCGGTGTCCTTGACAAGATAGCATGATAAGTGATCATGATACTCAATTGGTAACCTTTTTTTTTATTGATCATGTTCTGTCCACAATTTCAGAAATTACTAAGGAAGTATTTTAATGGGAGTTTATCATGTACTTGATTTAAAGTTGATTGTGGCACTTTTTATGGTTTTGATGGGTTCTGTCCATTCAATGTTTTAAAATTGTTTTATGAGACAATTGGTTTTATTCTGCAACTTGGAAAATACGCTTTTCATGGATATGTTCTCTCATTTTTCCAGAAAACATAGATGTAGACGTTCGTCTTACAGAATTGTGTGAAGAAGTAAAGGTACTTTTTTTTCATGTATTAAGTAAGTGAAAAAAGTATAAAAGTAGAGTATTCTGATTTCATATGTCACTTGGGTATAAATGTTTTGTTTCAGTGATAACATCCTGTGTGGTTTTTGCCAACACTTATTTCTCCTCTTCCTCATTCAAAGAGACTCCAGATTACTCCAAAACTTAACTGTTGATCTGGTGGCTCAGCACGACAGTATTAGCCATGGTAACTTTTGTACATCATGAAACTGAAGATTATAGAATGGTGGATCACATTTTTAATTTTCTGCATTTATAATTTGAATTCTTCGTTTATTATGATATCAAGTAGCAGGAGAGCAAGCAGCAGCAGTAAGTTGTACAAAAGCAGATGCTCCAAGTCATTCATCTGGAAGGACTTTTCCTGTTGCTGTGTCCTCCCGTTTTCTGTGCATTCTCAAGGAAATGCTGTCTACTTCAGATTACTTAGATTTGTCTCCCTCCATAGTCAGAACTAGCCCCAGCTGAATAGCTAATTTCGTTGTCACAGTGAAGTTTCAAGCACAGGGTTTTAAAACTTTTTTGAAAGATTGTCCATGCTTTGCTGCAGAGTTGAGTCATCTACTCAGCATTTGCAGTATAGGAGGCTTACCTTTCATTACTGTAGTAGTAATATTACTGCAAGGCAATACAGTAGTAGCTACAAAAATATGTTGTTTGTGTTAACTGGAGACAGCTAGCACAGTTAGCTCTCTATGGGCAACTAATAATTTTTATATATATATATATATAAAATTATGTTTTTTACATTTACTTCTCTGAATTCTCTCTCTACTTTCTAAAGTATGATTATATTTTTTCAATTTTCTTCTTTTTGATCTTTTTGTGCTATTCTCATAAAAATTTTCTCATCTTAAATGCACTTTCATCTGCTAAGTTGGTGTTTCAGTATTTGCCATCCTCCTTCCTACTTGCTCTCTAGTATTGCTGGAGTTGGGTCTTTACTATCTTTGCTACTTAAGCCCTTTGCTTCCGTGCCTCGTGGGCCTGCAGTTTGTTTCTGAAAAATTACGTTTTTGTGATATGGCAGGGAATGTAAGCCTAGCAGTCTACAGTTGACTTGCAAGGAACTGTATCACAGGATCATAGTACGTTGTTAAGAAAGAAAAACTTACTTTACATTGACTTTCTCTTTGTGTGATCTGGTTCTAGGAAGCCTATACTGTAACACTGTATTTAAAGTGTATCTAGATACATAGCAGCGTATAAATGTTACTGTGTGCTGTGACTGTTCTGAAATGGAGATGCCTTTATTAAGTTTTTACCATTGTGTCAAATTTGGACTAACATGCCAAATACTGATATTCTGTTCTCTAATTCCCAATTCTTGTTCCTTTCAAGCACACTATATTTTTGAATGTTAGAAAATACAGCAGTTATGATTCATAGTTTTGATTGTCATAAAGAAAATTTTCGCTTTAATTTGAGATCAGGAGTCTTAATTCTAAAAGACAACTTTAACACAATATAAAACAATCTCTTATTATTGTAACATAGATTAATTCAATTCTTATACTTAGGCAAAATAGTTCTAATTTGCAAGTTACTTTTTAAATTAAAATACTAAGATATTTTTTTTCTCCTATACTTTTATAGTCTAATTTGTTAATTGTGTAAATATTTTTTCCTAACTTCAGAAAATGGAAAATCCTGATGAACTGGCAGAGCTTATAAATATGAATCTTGCTCAGCTTTGCTCACTTCTGATGGCACTCTGGGGACAATTTCTGGAGGTCATTACCTTACAAGAGGAGGTCACAGCACTGCTAGCACAAGAGCATCACACATTAAGGGTAAGCATTGACTCTCGTGGTAGGAAGACTAGAATGTTCATGTTCTAGCATGTTCTACCAGGATGCGTTGTTATGGAAATGTGTAAGAAAATTATTCTCCAGTTCTATTTTTTCTAGTGTTATTTGGGAAAACTAGTTGGAATCATGAAGGGATCTGTTGTATTGCAGTTGTCAGCTTGTGTTATCATGTTGTTAGAACTTACTCTTGGAATATAATACATAAAATATTCTCTTTATATTTAGAAACCAACTAATTCATTGATTTTTTTTCTTTTTTTTTAAATAAGAAATGCAGTTGAGAAGGCAAATTGAAGTCTGTGGAATAAGATGTATTTGTATGCAATGATGCATTTTTCTCCAGAAGCCATGCCTATTGCCCACCCTGCATTTACTTCCCTACTGTGTTAAAGCTGCCTGTTTGCATCATAAGCCAAATGCGCTTTCCTCTGAATAAAGAATTTATACATTCATAAGCTTTGTAAAGGTTCATAAGTGGGATTTTTTTAAAATAGGAGATGTATTGGAAATTATTTGTTGTGTGTGTTCATAAGTATAAAAATGTATATAGTGAGTACCAGAGTAAGATTCATTAATACAAAACCAAATTAACAGTGTTGCCCACCACCCCTATTCAGCAAACACACAGATTAATCTTCAGCTGGCCTGTATCTCTACTGCATTTATCTCTCACACATGTGATAAAAGAGATAATTTTAAGAGGTTCTTTGGATGTACTTCTTGGAAAACCATTTGCAGAGAACTTGTCAGAAGGTCTGGTTAATGATAATACAAGTTAAAAGTGCCTTGTAATAGTCACAATCCAAAGCAAATTCTGTTTGAAGGCTTCAATTCTCAGATATTTCATTTGTCTCAGCAGCATTTCTGTCACTTGCATCAAAACCCTTTCTGTTTTGGTCCTGGATGGGAAACTGGTTATGGAGGATAGAAACTGTGATCTTATGTACAGAGTTGATAGAGCACGTTGTTTAGTGAGGGAATCATGGTTGTGGAAGTGACCTATTCTGGAGACTAAATGGAACCTTTCAGAAGGAGCTCAAGGCTTATTTGTTAGATAAGGTAGACAGAAGAAAGTGTGATCATTTTACTGGCTATCTAAGAATCTTACCTTTCTGTGCTTTTTGTGTAAATTCTGAAATCCTTCAGGTTAACTGGTGGAAGGTATGAAACAATAATACTATTTTACTTAATCTACACTTGCATTCAGCTGCTGGTATGTTAGTGTTTGTACAAGTATACATTTAATAAAAAGAAAACAAGTATTAATATTTTTACTGCTGCAGTGTTAAAAAAAAAGTACTGCTAATTAGAGGTACTTGGCTTCTTAAATGTCATTCTTTTAAAAATCTCTGATTCTCTCTAACTCTCAACTGTGGCTATTCTAGGAACTATAAATCAAAGTAGTGAATTACACTGCATGAATTGAGATTTTGTGCACATTAGAAGTATTTATGTGATGCTTTCCAGTTTTCACAAAATTAAAATAGGAGTTCCATTCCTCCCGTTTTTCTTTCATGCCTGCATTTTTCCCTTTCCAATTGTTGTTTTTTGTTACTATGTGTAAACAATCTTGTTTCAAGTACCACATTATATATATTTTTGCTTTCTAAAATATTAAATACTTATTCTTTAATAAAAGCTGTAGAAATACTACTTTCTGGAGGTATGGATCTAAACAAGTTGAGCTTATTTATTTTTTAAGTAAGTGGCTAATTGCTGTTTCTTACTGAGTTCTGCAATTACTGGATACTACATTATCTGCCCAAACATCAAAGTCTGAAAAAGAGATGCAAAATGTGGGTAATCCTAAACTTACCTTTTTATTTAGAGCCTGATAGCAAAGAGCAAGCAGGCTGACTCTAAAATAATATGGTATCAAGAAGGAAATTCTACCTGAGCCAACTTAGAAAGAACAGCAATGTGTTTTACTTAGTTTTACAGGCACTAATTTGCAAATGTGACACTTGTTTTCTTAACTCCAAGATGTGAAGAGCTTGTACAAATACTTTACCAATGCATGTAATTAAAATAGATGTAAATAGATATAGCTACACTGGGCTTCCCACATGGTGGTAGAGCAGGAACCAGCATCTGCAAATTCAGTAAAACATAAATTATTTGACCCCTGATGTTTTTAAGAGCATGTTTGGCTGTTGATTTGGGATCCTGTTTTGCAATACTTAGTAGAATAATACGTAATTTGTATGTAATTTATATTGTGAAGTTTCATACAAACTTATTCTGGAAAACCTGTAGCAATCATGCAATCAGGTGTTTGTGGCACATGGCAAATGATGCAGACTATCTAGTTAGTGAATGTACTAGAGATTTGTGAGATGACCTGCTAATTTTCCTCTTGAGAGTATATCTGTCCTTTCTGGAATAAAATTTTTGTATGATACAAAATTCTGTCTATCTAAGTTAGCATTTTATTTTGGAAATTGATACTCTACTTGATGCTAAATCTCTTTTAATTTTACCTTTTCATTTTTCAGTATTGATAGATTAAACCCTCCACAGCAATTTTTTCCCTGGGAAAGTTTAGTATTGATCTAATGTACCCTTTTAGGGAGTCACTCATCTGACTGATTTATACTTGTGTTAAAATACCCTTTAGAAATGCATGTCATCATATTTGGTCAAATGACTTTCACCCTCTTTGCATAGATGCCTATAAAACAGGTAATTCTGATTGTTGCTAGAAATTAAGGTTCTAATGAAATAATATATTTAAAGTATTTAAAATTATTATTGTACTTGTTTTGCTTAAGTGTTTAAATATTTTCAAATATTTTAAATATTAATCTCTACTTAAAGGAATCAGGAACACTTTAGGTGTACTAGAGCATCTATTAACTACATTATCACACTGATAAGGTTGAAAACAATATCTTACTGAAAAAAATGCTTGGAGTATGTTACTTGATATTACAGAAAGTTTGCACACTAAACTAGTTCACCTTTTGTGTTCCATAGTGACATCTTCTGGTAGGTCTGAACATGCTCTTCCAGAACTATTTTGTTTAGTTTGATTAGTCTTAAATATAAGAACTGAGAACTAAGATCTCAGACTGCTACTCATAAATGTTCAGTGACTCAGTTTAGCTTCCATGGCAGTTTTTCTATCTGATTTCCACCCCTCATCTGTTTACACTTGGAGGACTATAAAACCCATAATTTTGGGAAGTCTGTGTGGACTGGAAGTAGCTAATAGAATTTCCTCCTGCAAAGTCATTGTGAAGTCTGCCCAAGTCAGTAGCTCCTGAGTCAGTAGCAGCAGCTGGTGGTAGTTCTGGTTCTGCAGAGCCTATTAAGCACTCATTAAACATAGTAAACTATTGTTGGTTTGGATTTTTTTCTTTCCTTAATACTGATTCATGTGGACTTTTGGAGTTTTCCGTTAGTTTTATACTATCACTGTTATGCTAAGAGCTGGTGGTCAGATTTTCTTCAAAAGCACTGGAGTTACTTTAACAATTACAAATGGTATTTACTGCAAACAAAAAAACACTTCCTTTTCTGTTCAAGAACATGGCAGAATTCTAAAGATCTGGTCTCCATATATCTCCACTTTATGTGGTAAAGTGATTGCTCACATGTAAAGTCAAAACCAGCATGCTTGCCTCCTGGGAAACAGCTCTTTTCTTGGCTTAAGCCACAGACATCTGCTAGTTGGGTAGTGTTGCTGTTCCTATTTTATTTCCTATTACCTGATTGATTAAAATATTTAATTAATTTTTAATTGCTTAGTTTAGAATGATAACCAGTCCAGTCTTCATGATCAGTTATAAAATCTAGTTTTTAAGCTGTAAAATTATCTCTAAGTCTGTTGTATAACAATCTTCTCCCTTTCTGGGGGAAAGGTGGGGGATTAGCTCTGACAAAATCATGTTATCGGAAGGTGGTGTGTGTTTAGAAAAGCCACCTGGGAAAACACCAGAGGAGTATTTTGTAATCCTACATATGTATGCATAAATTCCTAACATAATTTTTTAAGAAAAGCAGATGTGTCTTGTGTGTGTGTCTGGTTATTGCTGAGAATGGAAGTTGCATTTCCAAGGAAGCATCTAATGTAGTGTTTTCATTTTACTTCAAAACATTTTCCATGACTGTTCACAGATGATGTTGTCACTGAGATTAATTTCATTTAATGCAGTAAATTTAGTTCTGGGAAAATGGAACAGGACTTTAAGCTTCTAGTGCAGGTTAGAGATTAGGGGTTTAATGTTTGTGGTTTGGAGTTGTGATTTTTTTCTTAAGCACCATAGAACAATTCCAGTTCTGTTTTTATTGACTGTCTATATAATACGTAAAATTAATAATGTTGTCTAGGAATGCTCATGGATTTTAAAAAATTGTATGTAATAGAAAATAAGCTCTACCTTTACTTGGATCTTGCAGGTGCGCAGATTTGCAGAAGCATTCTTTTGTCTTGAGCATCCTAGGCAAGCTGCCCTTGCCTATCAAGAACTGCAGTGAGTAGCCTTTTGGAGTGCACAGTATGTAGCATGTAGTGCTGTTATACTATAGCTAATGTTATGTAGAAGTACTGTCTTGCAAAAATACTTAGATAACAAGTTGAAGAGAAGATTATGTTTTAAATATATATTTGAAGTTTTTAAATGAAAGTTATGTAAGAAGTTACTAAATAACTATTAAAACTATTAAATTACTAATTAGCAGATAAGCTCCTACTAAAGTGAATTAGACTACTGCTAATTTCTGTTAATGTAAAATAAATAGTTCTATTTTTTTAATGTAGGACTGCTTCCTTTTTTTTCAGTGCTCAGAGTCATCTACAGATGTGTGCAGCTATCAAAAATACTTCCTTCTGCAGTTCTCTTCCACCTCTCCCTATTGAATGCAGTGAACTAGATGGAGATATGAACTCCTTGCCTATCATCTTTGAAGATCGATATTTAGATTCAATTACTGAAGGTAAACACACCTCACAGTGCAGGGTTTTTTTTGAATTAACAGAGAATGCATAAACCTGAGTTTTTATATTTACATTTCTTGCTAGCTTTACAGTACATTGATTTGCTAGGAAATGTTTCTTCAGCTTGAATTTTGAGGATTTGTAAAGGTCTGTAATTACTAGTGTTTTATAGCTTCAGTTAACCTGCATAATATTGTTGTAAACAATCCTTATTTTTTTTCCCCTTTTTTTTTTTGAAAGATCTGGATGTACCCTGGTTGGTAGTTCAGAGTCTTCCAAGGTCAGAGTTCAATAAACTGGATAAATTTGAAGCTGAAGAAGGTTTTGTAGCTGGTGTTACCAGCCCAGAACTGAAAATAAGACCTGCAGGTGCCTCCAGTCTTTGGCATCCAGAAAGTGAAAAGATGCTAACAAAAACTTTGAAAGGGAAAAGTGAAGATGCAAATAAATCCAAAGTTAAAGTTACTAAGCTCATGAAAACAATGAAACCTGAAAACGCAAAAAAAGTTGTGAAACAGAACTCTAAGGACTCTGTGGTCTTAGTAGGCTACAAATGTTTGAAAAGTGCAGCACTGGAAGATGCCTCTAGAAGCTCAGAAGGCAGGCCTTCACACAATGCTGACGAAGGGCTGGACCCTAAATTAGGTGGGTTTCCTTGTGATACAAAGACCTGCAGCAGGCAAGCAAGTCAAAGAGAACTTCCATTTTTGCCATCTGAAACTGAGGAAAAGACTGCCAAGATTGAAGGTGGCCAACCAGGTCCAGGTAACCCCATGCACTGTGAAAATGTGGCTACTTTTGGTAGACTTAGTATCTCCCAGACAGGTGCTGGAACTACTGGTTGGTAGTTCAGAGTCTTCCAAGGTCAGAGTTCAATAAACTGGATAAATTTGAAGCTGAAGAAGGTTTTGTAGCTGGTGTTACCAGCCCAGAACTGAAAATAAGACCTGCAGGTGCCTCCAGTCTTTGGCATCCAGAAAGTGAAAAGATGCTAACAAAAACTTTGAAAGGGAAAAGTGAAGATGCAAATAAATCCAAAGTTAAAGTTACTAAGCTCATGAAAACAATGAAACCTGAAAACGCAAAAAAAGTTGTGAAACAGAACTCTAAGGACTCTGTGGTCTTAGTAGGCTACAAATGTTTGAAAAGTGCAGCACTGGAAGATGCCTCTAGAAGCTCAGAAGGCAGGCCTTCACACAATGCTGACGAAGGGCTGGACCCTAAATTAGGTGGGTTTCCTTGTGATACAAAGACCTGCAGCAGGCAAGCAAGTCAAAGAGAACTTCCATTTTTGCCATCTGAAACTGAGGAAAAGACTGCCAAGATTGAAGGTGGCCAACCAGGTCCAGGTAACCCCATGCACTGTGAAAATGTGGCTACTTTTGGTAGACTTAGTATCTCCCAGACAGGTGCTGGAACTATACAAGCAGATAGTGCTCTACAGTCCAGAGGTACACTTGAAGGTTGCCATGCAGGTCAACCGGCTTCCTCAGGAGTTAGGACAATTGAGGTCAAACCAAGTAATAAGAATCTCTATGAAGGCGAGAAAGTAACTGTTCACATTGGATCATGGGCTGAGTTTCCACAGGATGGAATGCAAGGAGAGAATTTCCAGACACCCAATATTCAGTCTTCAGAATCTGGAAATAAATTGAATCCAGAAGAACAGGAACCAGTGCTTGAAGAGGAAAATGTCCATGAAAGAAACTTCCAACATACCAGTGACAGTTTGACAAAAATAAAAAATAATCAGCCTACTCCTTCTACAAAAGAAAGTCAGCTTTCTGCAAGTGGTGATGTGGCTAAAGTACCAGATGTTAGTGTGACATATGCCTCTTCTAGGTTTTCAGATTCAGGTGTAGAAAGTGAACCAAGTTCTTTTGCAACTCACCCCAACCCTGATCAGGTTTTTGAAAATGTTCAAGGGCAAAGTGCATACAACGGTGAGAAAGCACTTCCTCAGCTTTTACTAAAACCAGAGTGTGCTATAAAAAACGCAATAGAAAGCCACTGTACTGAGAGTACCAGTGCTGTAAGTGAAATACAGTCATCCCTAACATCCATAAATTCGCTGCCATCAGATGATGATGAGCTGTCACCTGACGAGAATTCGAAGATATCTATTGTACCTGAATGCCAGCTAAGTGACAGTAAGACAGTATTGGATCTTGGAGCAATTGACTTGCCAAAATGTGATGACAGTAAAAAATCAAACACGAATTTGCAACAACAGTGTGTTGCCTTTTCAGGGCACTTGGATAACAGAGCTCCGTCTGTACATTCCTTGCTCTCAGGAACAAAAGATCTTTTACACTTAGTTGTTTCAGATGAGGATATGTCTACTGATATGAAAAGTCACAGCCCACAGGCAGACTTTGGCACAACCTGCAAGGACTCTCAGGACCTCGAAAGGCATCTTAACACTACAGAAGAAACTGTTAAATTGCATTTGGAAATTATTTGTACGGGTGAGCCATCCATTGTTTCAGGTTCTTCGTCTGTAAATGCAGAGGATGAGGTTGAAAAAAAAAATGAAGGAAAACATGATGAGCATTTAGAACCAAAGGAGACAATGGAAGAACTGTCAGTAGCTAAAACTGAAACTGGTACAGATAATCCTTCTCCAACCAGTAGTACTGACATGGTAAAGCAAGGGCTTGTTGAAAACTATTTTGGCTCTCGGAGCAGCACAGATATTTCAGATATTTGGCCTCTGGACAACAGCAATCCTGTTAGCCCGCAAAAGGAAACGTATGAAAAACAAATATTTTGTTCTTCCCAACAAGATGAGGAGGAAGAAGAGGATCAAGAAATGATTGAAAATGGGTATTATGAAGAAACAGACTACAGTATATTAGATGGAGCTGCCAGTGCTGACCAGGATCATGGCTCAGCAGAAGAGACCCTGAGATCTGAAAGGATTGATAGTGGGCATCTGCGAGATGTAATGACGGTGCCTCCTGTCTGCACTCCTGGCTGTCTGTCTTTTCCTTCTTCTCTGAGAGACTCTCCTTGTAATGTTATCTGTTCTTCAAGGCGTAAATCTGATGCAATTACACAACAGCCAGGCAGCACATCCTATAGCTCAGCCTCATCCGTTTCCTGGTATGAAAGCTCCCCAAAACCTCAAATGTTAGCGTAAGTGATTGTTTTAAAACAAAGATTTTACTTTTATAAATTATGTTAATATAGTATAGAGGGGAAAAAGAAGCATGATTAGGCTTCACAGTGCCCCTAGGACTGTGGCAAGTGTATTCTGCATGCTCAAGTAACAAAACCTTTTAGATGTTCATATAGAAAGTTTGTTAGCAATTAATTCCTTCTGTCAGTTATCTTTTAATTTGATATGATTTGACAAACTTCAAGCAAGATTTTTTTGTTTGTTTCTCTAATAGTTTCCTTTTTTAAGCTACTGAGCATAAAAATAGTGTATTATGAAATAGAAGCTGTTAAAAGAGCAAGCATAGGAAAATATACTTTGAATTAAAAAACATAAAACAAAAACATTCTGTAACTGGTTTTCCATCTAATTAAGTGAATGCTAGTCAGGATGATGGCCTTATTTTTCAATCTTAACTTGAAATACCCAAAATGTACCACCTCAGAATGTCACACACTAAATTGCACTCCATTTTGGATACCAGGAAATCCAAATGTAGAGGAACTTGAGGAATCCCACATTGTACCTCCTCTTCCTATAAACATAGGTGTTTCCCTGATAGCCCCCTGCTGCTACCTGAACACAGGAAGCAGCAGCAAGTAAAAACATTGCTATCAGAAAGAAGAAATAATCCTAGAATAATTTTGGTTGGAAAAGACCCTTGAGTTCATCAAGTCCAACTGTTAAGCTGGCACACCACCATTTCTACCACTAAACCATGTCCCTAAGCACATCAACATGTCTTAAATACCTCCAGAGATGGTGACTCAACTGCTTCCCAGGGCAGCTTGTCAAAATGCCTGACGACCCTTTCAGTAAGGAACTTTTCTTCATATTCAGTCTAAACCTCCCCTGGCACAACTTGATGCCATTTCCTCTTGTTCTGTCACTTGTAACGTGGGAGAAGAAGCTAACACCCACTTAGCTACAATCTCCTTTCAGGGAGCTGTAGAGAGTGATAGGGCTTAGAAGAGTGGTAGAAACAATGGAGGGCTAAGCAGGCACAAGAAGTAAAAGGCCAGATAGTTTGTGGTAAACAGCTGAGAACAGGAGGAAGGAAAACAGGTTAGAAGTGGATAGAAAAGGAGCTTCTGAAATACTGGAGAGTGAGTACTGGAATGGAATGGGAGGGATGAAAAACAGGGACTGTTCAGAGTGCTCCGTAACAGTAACAAAAGAGGGAACTCAGAGTAAAATCAAGGACTTGGTCTTGAGGAAAGCAGAGTCCCCTGGAGCGTGGGATAGCTGGCATTCCAGAGGGCATGGCCTGCTCCATAAAGAACCAGCTTTGTGAGTTCAGAAAACATGCCTTGAGCAAAAACTAACTTCTGCTTTGGAGTGATAAGACGCTGGTTGCAGTGGTTTCTAATCAGGCTGGCTTCACTGAGTGCTCCTGTCAGTTAAAGTGGTGTGAGCTAAAGATAAAGCTGGGAAAACAGAGAACAAAAAGTAGAATAGGAGGGAAACAGTGAGCAGGGGGAAGAAGGTACAGCTTGGTTTTGTGAGGGATCATGCGAAACACAGATGTTGTGGTTTAGGCCCAACATGACAACAAAAGGAACAGCCACCTGGCTGCTCACTCAGCTCCCCCACACACACACTCTGGGATGAGGAGGACAAAGCTCCTGGGTTGAGACAAAGGACAAGGAGGTTTCTTCACTGATTAAGGTCCTGGGCAAAAGACCCAACTTGGGGAAAAAATAATAATTTAATTTCACACTCATCAAACACACCCAGGACACAGACAACTCAAAGTGCAGGGCTTGCATATGTTACCCCACCCCTCCCTTCTTCCCGGGCCCAAATCACTTTGTTCCCAGTTTCTCTCCCTCCTTCCCCCCAGCAGCACAGGAGGACAGGGGATGGGGTTTAGAGTCACTTCACAGGCTGGGGGTTCTTGCTGCGCCATCCTCCTCAGGAAGAAGGATTCCTTACAGTCCTTCCCTGCTTCTCCACGGGGTCCCTCCCATGGGAGAGTCCTGTACGAACCTCTGCTTCATGAGTCCTTCCCACGAGGTCCGGAGCTGCTCCAGCCTGGGCTTCCCACAGAGTCATGGGCTCCTTCGGGAACAAACTCCCCTGGCACCGGGGTCTTCCAAAGCTGCTCAACGAAAGTCCACAGGCAGCAAATCCACTGGCCACAAAATTCAAGTCCACTGGCCAAGTTCACCCCTCTTGGCACCTTCAGGGAATGTTCCACCACATTCCTCCACGAGTGCAGAGGGACAGCTGCCATCTCACCATGGGTTGCAGGGAAACTTCTGCTTGGGCACCTTCTTCCCCTTCTTCCTCACCAACCACCACCACTGCTCTCCTCCCCCAGCACAGCTCTTCACCCCCAAGTGCTTCTCTGCTCAAGTGTTATGTTGAGTCTTTTGTATGTTAATCACTGAGGCGCATCTGTTGTCCCTCTGATGGCTCCTTGACTGGTTTTGGAGCAGGGGGAGCTTTTCAGCTTCTCACCGGAGCCACTCCTGGGGCCCTTCCCCCACTACCAAAAACCTCACCAAACCAGAACAATGCATTGAGGAGGGAAAGGAGCATAAGGAAGCATAAAGCTTGAAGAGCTGCAGGGAAAATTATACACAGTTAATTAGTTAGGAAGGTCATACACAAAAAAAAAACTAAGAGAAGGGGAATAAAGGGAGGAATGCAAGGAATTCCTAGCATGTAGGATGCTCAGCTATTAGAAGTCATGCCTTCATAAAATATCTAAAAGAGGAGAGATCTGGTTCTAGCTTCTTCTGAAGTGAGTGCAGTTTATTTAGCCTACCAGAGGAGTTTTCTAGTGAGCAGTTACAGCACTGGCTTCAGTGCTGACCTAGTAAACAGGTTTTGTGGTTGGCAAGAATTATCAAAAGTCAGTGGAAATCTTTACCTTGACTTCTGATTGGTTATAATTCCTGTAACTTTGTTAATGCATTTAAACAAAGCTGTTGCTTGCTCAAGACCAGAACCAATCCAGAATCTTTAGTGGTTTCAGAAATACTTCAGTTTGCAGAGATGTTTAAACAAGAAAAGAGAGTAGAACTTGGGGTATGGATTTTGTTACAGAGAAAAAGGGTCTGTAGGAAGCTGCAGTAAAGAGTATTTTGAGAAACTGGCTTGTTTTGTGACAACAGTAAGTTGATACATATATTTACCTTCCTATCAGTTACATAAAAGACAAATTAAAAGAGAATAAAGAACTGTAATTAGGAGACCTTACATTTGTCTGGCAACTGTAAATCTTGTTTTATCATAAACATGGTTTTGTTCCAGTTTCCTACAGGCTAAAGAAGAACTGAAGCAACTTAAACTTCCTGGATTTATGTATAGTGATGTTTTAAAACTGGCTTCTTCAATACCTTACTTCAGTATGGAAGAGGAAGACTGCTCAGAAGAAGGAATACATCTTATAGTCTGTGTCCATGGCCTAGATGGTATGCTGGGAAATGTGATACTGAATGAGATAGCAGTTCAGATTACTGGTCAGGTTTAGCTTTTGTCATTTGAACTCTAAACTGAACACTTCTGAAATAGGTTCACTGGATGGAATTGGGATTCTGACATTGTACTGCTACATTTGGCAGTGTATTCCTTTAGAGTTGTTTCAATTAAGAATTTTATGTAACATTTGTCTTTAGTAAAACTTCCCTGCATATAAACCCATATTGTGCCATAGTTCAGATTATGTACATATTCCAGGTTTTTATGTCTTGCAGATATTTGTCTCTATTGTGGTAATAGAATTGAGTTACTAACAAAACAGTTTTGCTTAGAATTTGTAGTGTTACATCATCAAGGAAAAACAAATATTTAACAAAAGTTAAATACTTGTTAGGAAAAATTAGTTTATGTAAAATACAGTCAAATGTTTATAAGGTTTTAAAAGGTTAGATTACTGAATCACAGAATGGTTCAGGCTGGAGATGGTGTAGTCCAGCTCCCCTACTCAAAGCAGTCACCTATTAGGTTGCCTGGAACTCAACCCAGTTGTTTTTTTAAATATGTCCAAGGATGGAGACCCTACTGTAGTAGAAATGAGAAAATCTCTTGCTCACTGAAGAAGGATTGGAAAGCTTAAATAGCTTGAATATAGCCACCTAGCTTTTAGTTCAAAGCATATGTGCATGTTAAGACATAATATCCCCTCTAGTTAAGATACTCATAACTTTCTTCTGTCAACATTTTTCTTTTTTTGAGAAGCTTCTTAAATTAGCAATGTAAGGAAATGAAAAAAAGCACTGGATAGACTGGTCACTGACATTGCACAACCTTCAAGTTAATTTTTAAAATTGCAAATTAAAAAATTAAAATAACATAGTAGCTTTTCTTCCTCTGGGCATAGAGAAGCCTTTGTTAAGCACTTTTAAGTATTCCCTACTAGTGTAAATGTTCAAGTGTCATTGTGTGCCTAGAACTGACACAGTAGCTACCTTGGCAAAAAAAAAACTGTTGTTAAAAAAACATCTTTGAAGCCTTAGGAAAAAATCTATATAGTTATAATTTTTTCTTATGAAATGGCAAGTTCATTCAAGTTCTTTTCTATTAATAGCAGATTTAAATAAAAATCCTGTTCTCCAATGAAGTCAGAAAGAGTGCTCTTTCTTCAAAAGCATACATGATCATTGATGTAGAGAAATCTTCAGGATGCTAGTTAAACTGGCATTTGTTGTCTTAGGTACCAGTCTAAATAAATCTTTATCTGTTGACAGTCCACACTGCCTTCTTACTCAGTAAAAATGTTTGTGACCTGCCCTTTCTCCTTCACTGAATTCTTCAAACTAATGCTGAATTATTTTAATTGACTTTTATAAAAAGTTAATTAGGTTTTCAGGAATGTAATGCTCATAATGCTGTGTATTTGTTGGATGCTAAGACAAAATCAAACATGACTTCCTAAATCCTTGCTTTTTTAAAACAGTGTCTGCACTGAATGTCATTTTTATAGACAGTTTTGTCACTGCATTTGGCATTGCAGTTTATGTTCCCGAGTCTTGCTGAATTTCATTTAGGGCTGAGAATATGGTTAGCTGTGTTTAAATAGAAAGTTGTGCTGTAGGTTCTTTTCAATATTCTGAGTGCTTTTATTGCAAGTTCACTTCATAGAATCTAACTCTTGATTGTTTTTCCTTTTAAGGTAACAGCGCAGATCTAAGATTAGTGAAGACTTACATTGAGCTAGGGCTGCCTGGAGGGAGAATAGATTTTCTCATGTCTGAAAGAAATCAGGTATTTGCCAAGAAAAAAAATTATTTTGTAAAGTAATAAACAGTGTAGATCTTTAGACATGTTTATGAAATGGCACTATCCAGTTACAGTTTACCACATTATGTATATTATAATTGTATTCTTATGGAATCTATTATTTGACTTGTGGCTTGTGTTAAAGTAATTACAAAACCTAGTATGAAATTGAAGATAAGTATGTAAGGAGCATCATTTGTTGCCATTTTTTGTATGTACTGATATCTCCTAAGTTCTCAGCATAGTCATTTAAGATTGTAGATAAAATACCCTTGATATTAATGGCAGAAATGGTGATAGTGGAAACTGGTGTGGCAAGAAGGGAGATGTTTTATTTCATAGGATCTGAGAAGTACAAGATACCTGTCTCTTGTTCTTTTGTCAGCATACTGTAAGATTCACATCATGACATTAGTCCAATACAAAATTCCCTCTTGTGTTAAACTTTTGAGAATTTCAATATTTTCAGGTGAAGTAAACTTGAAAAGCACAGAAGAGCAATTTTTGTATGTGTGTAACATTCTGTATTAGACGTACTTCAGGGATGAATTAGAACAAAGACTCTTCAGTTGCTCAAATGAAAGGTTCAATTAGTGCAGTATGTTTTTCTGGCAGCAGCTGCTGGGATGCTTTGTGAAACAGGCTGGACAGGCTCCAAGCCATGCTTTCTCTTCTCTAGCTCTGTAGTTTTTGGCAGAAAGCTGTTCTGAAACTTTCTGATTTGGGGAGTCCATTGACACCACTACACCTGATAGCTACTGGACTTTTCTCCTTAATGATGGCTGATTCTTTTTGAATATTTTAACTTTAACTAATAGTTTCTGATCATCTGTGATATCCTGCCTTGCCCACTTTCAAACTTCTGTCATTTGAAATGGGATGATCAGAACTAGACAGGCCATTTGAGATGTTTGTGCACTATGGACTTACAAAATGCTATATTGATATTTTCTCTCCTTTCTTTGCCAATGTAGCTGATTATATAGAATGCACACATATATATTATTATTATTTGCATATATGTTTAGGGCTAATTTTCCCTATTTTTTGCATTTCTTGCCATTTTACTACCCAGGCAAGCAGTACTAAAAGATTCTTCTGAAATTTTGGCTCATTCCAGATTTGTCTAGCCTGTATATTTGGTTTTGTCTTCCAGCTCTGACATCTCATCGCCTTCTTCACTTTCCCGTATAATTTACCAATTTGTTGAACACTGAAGATTTTAGCACAGATCCTTTGGAACTTGTATTGGAAGTTTTAGGCAGCCTACTCCTTTTTTAATTTCTTATTGCTAATCATTGTAGAGAATCAGCTATGTACTGGGAATAAGGCTTTAAAGAGTTGTTTTGTTTTGAATAAGCAGTACTAATGTAGACTCTGCTGTTGCAGTAATTGTCTCATTTCTATGTCATGGGCAGTGTGATATAGTTCTGAATGTGTAGTTTGGTCTTCTGTTTCAGTACAGATAAGTTACGTGTTGGGGAAGGCTTAGAAGTGAGGCTGGCTGTGTAATGTTAAGCTTTTTTTTGGTGTATTAAAAGAAAGTAGTCTTAGAGTAAAATGTGTATCACTTTATTCCATGTTACAAGAAAAGAAAACCTTGGAAAAATTATATTAACTAGCTGTAGTGTTTGTATATAAAATTAATATAGATTATTTTATTTGTGTGCTGTTGATGAAAACACTGGGGAATGAGAATTCAGTCTGAATGCAGAATATATATTACTGCATTAGAACACAGAGTTATTATTTTTTATTTCTTTTATTTTACAGAATGATACCTTTGCTGATTTTGATTCCATGACAGATCGCCTTTTAGATGAAATTATACAGTATATACAAATTTATAATCTAAACCTTTCAAAAATCAGGTAATATCTGTTCTATACTATTTAAAGAAATAAATGTAAAAGTAGAGTCCTGTATTGTTCTGAACTTTGATGCTCAGGAGCAGACCAAAAGAGAGTTGGGAAAGAGAAATGCAGGGAGGGGGAGGAGTAGGGGAAAGGAAGACAAAGGAGAGAGAGGGGATTCCTAGTTGATAGACTGAAAAGTGTTTTAAGCTCACCTAGTGCTGTTGCTGGTTTTAGGGTAGAGTTAAGCATTTAAGGAGCTACTGTTCTGGGCTTCATCAGAATCTGCATGGTAGATTTCTGCAGAAGAACAGATGTTTTGAGAAAGTAGAAGGAAACTGTAATAGTGCTGTGTCAAGATAAAGTTGACTTTCTTCTGATTTTATAGTCTTTTTGCCAAGTAAGACATAGCAGACTATCTCGCCATTCCTACAGGGAAATTTCATCTTATCTATGAGGTTAAAGGACAGCAGCATGGAAAAATATTTCATCATTTTGACATTTCCTGATTGTTTCTTCTGTTAAAAAGCCTGTTTTACATACATATTAATAGAAGGTTCACCCCAGTCTATGCATTCCTGTTTCCCTTTTCAGTTGCTTCCAGGGAATACCTGTTCCATTTATTTTCTGGAAGGAGGGTACACCATTTGAGCAGACTGTCTTAATAACTCAGCTGTGCTTCTGGAGTTAGCTGGTCAATAGATTAAAGGAGCAAATTCAAGCCTGGCTTCATTTATTTAGATATCCTCAAATTACACATCTGGAAGGTTTTATGACTTGCTGGTCACATGCATTTCCTACAAGTTTCTGCATACTCGTGTTTGGTAGGCCTTACTCACCTAGAGAAAACATCTAACATGTCTGAATACAATCTCACTTCTTAAACTAATGTTTTTATTTTGAAAGAAGTGAGATTTGACATGGCTAATGTTGTCTAAATTGATGATTTAAAAAAAAAACAAAAAACACTGTTGGATCATATTTATACTACACAGAGAGCATGTTAGCACACTTGGTGCAGGAGAGGGGAGTTCTGTAGCCCACCAGCACACACTGGTATCTTCTCTGCCATGCTGTGGTCTGAAGGCTGTAATGAGCAAACCCACCCAGTTACCTTCTTGTTCATGCCTGAGAACTGAATTCTCATGTGCCTCTCTCATAAGACTTTTCATTTGTATATTTTTTTCAGTTTTATTTAACACTTAACACTTGAAAGAAAGAATAAATTACCAGTTTCTACTTCAGTTTCCTTTCCAAAGTGTATGCTTATCTTTGGCCCTGCTGAAGCAAAAGTCTGCATCTCTCAATTTTAGCTTTTCTCATGAGAAAGTTAAACCTATCAGCAAATCCTGCAGCTGTTTTTTGGTAGCTACATGAGAGAGCTTTCAGTAAGAGATGTACTTACTTACATGCAAGTCCTTGAAGGAGTGACTCAGAAAGCCCAGGAAAATACTTTTGAGAAATCCTCTGTTCAAGCAGCCAGTGCATTCCTACCTCATTTTGGCTGTCCCACTGTAAAGAAAGCAGACTTTGTGCTTTGTTACTTTCCTGAATGATGCTGATTTCTCCTCATAAAATCTCCTGGTCTACCAAAGGAAGGGTGCTCTGTACAAATGCTGCTTAATAGCTGAGCTATTAGAAGTCAGTCTCCAGACCTACAATGATTTTGTATGGCAAAAAAGCTGACAGCATTGTGTGTCAGAAATACCTATTCTGCCCCTCTTTTGCACTCAAAAGTCATGTTATGGGCAAGAGGGAAGGCACTTCATATGCAGAACTAAGAATTTATTGTTACTCCAAGTAGTGTTTTAATAATCTCATAAAAATGTGTCAAAAAATTACTGTTAGTCCAGTTACGGTACTGAAATTCATTTTCCAAATTAATGCAAGAAAGATCCATTGCTAATATGGCTGAAGCTGCTGTACAGAAACTTTCTAAGGTCTTTTCTCAGGTTCTGTGCTCCCCTTATAGCAGCTGTCTGGGTCCTAAGATTGGTGGTTTCTGTCTTCCCTAAGCAGTGCGACATCAGCATCCTGGGGCTTCAGTGTAAGAGAATGATGTTTACAGTGGAGGTTTTTGCCTCCTTGGCTTCGGGTTTTCCTGGCTTTGTTTTCATACTTTCATATTTTCAGTCTGCCCACATGCTCTTTCCTTTATTTCTCCTTTACTGGTTTATTTTTTTTCTTTTCTCTGTTACCCCTAATACTGGCTTTCTCTACTGACTGGTGAGATTGCACTTCTGCCGTGATCATTAATAGATGATCGCTGGACCTCTGGCATGAGATACCTGTTTCTGCATTCTTCTACACCACACTTTAGTCTAGTGATACACATATCTTTATCTGTTGACAGTCCACACTGCCTTCTTACTCAGTAACTATTTGTTACTAATAGAAATTATAGTGAAACTAAAGCAACTTTAGGCCTGGATTGTTATTTCACTGCCAGGAAATGGCTGTCACATTCAAAACAAATGAAAATCTGCTCAGGCCAACAGAAGTCAAGAGAAGTTATGAGATGCCTTGTGCCTGCAACTAATAGCAGAAGTGTATTTATTGTGATGCATTATTTTACTGAGATGAGAAAAGGCGTTCCCTGAACCATCACAAACCAGACCCCTACTGTATTGTCAGCTTTAGTGAATCAACAACTCTGCTAAATGCAAACAATCCAGGAGGTTCCTAGAGTGCAAGGATGGTAACTTCCTTTTCCAAGTAATCGAGGAACCAAAAGGAGAGGTGCTGTGCTGGATCTTTTCCTCACCAATGAGGTGAGATGAACCACTCGCTGGGTAAGAGATTGGCTGGATGGCCATACACAGAAAGCTGTGGCTCAATGTCCAAATGGAGGCAGGTGATGAGTGGTGTCCCTCAGGGGTCAGTATTGGGACCAGTGCTGTTTAACATCATTGTTGGACACATGGGCAGTGAGATTGAGTGTATTTTCAGCAAGTTTGCTGATGATACCAAGCTGGGTGATGTGGTTGACACCCAAGAGGGAAGGGATGCCATCCAGAGGGACCTTGACAGGCTGGTGAGGTGGACCCGTGCCAACATCATGAAGTTCAACAAAGCCAAGTGCAAGGTCCTGCACCTGGGTTGGCACAACCCCAGGCATAAATACAGGCTGGGGGAAGAATGGCTGAAGAGCAGTCCTGAGGAGAAGGACTTAGGGGTGGTAGTAGAGGAGAAGCTCGACATGAGCCGCCAGTGTGTGCTGGAGCCCAGAGAGCCAAACACATCCTGGGCTGCATCAACAGAAGTGTGGCCAGCAGGGCCAGGGAGGGGATTCTGCCCCTCTGCTCTACTCTGGTGAGACCCCACCTGGAATACTGTGTACAGTTCTGGGGTCCTCAGCACAAGAAGGTTATAGACCTGTCAGAGAGGGTCCAGAGAAGAGCCATCAAGATGATCAAAGGGCTGGAGCACCTCTGCTATGAAGATAGGCTGAGACAGTTGGGGCTGTTCAGCCTGGAAAAGAAAAGGCTCCAGGGAGACCTTATAGCATCTTCCAGTACTTGAAAGGAGCCTACAGGAAAGCTGGGGAGGGGCTTTCCATCAGAGAAGATGGTGATAGGACAAGGGGTAATGGTTTTAAACTGGAAGTGGGTAGATTTAGGTTAGATATTAGGAAGAAATTCTTCATTATAAGGGTAGTGAGGAACTGGAATGGGTTGCCCAGGGAGGTTATTGATGCCCCATCCCTGGAGGTTTTTAAGGCCAAGTTGGACGAGATTTTGTGCAGCCTGGTCTAGTGGTAGGGTTCCCTGCTCATGGCAGGGGGTTGGACACTTGAAGATGTTTAGGGTCCCTTTCAACCTTAATGATTCTATGATTCTATGAATCAACATTTTTGTTACTGCCAAAGCTGATGCTAGTTATTGCACCAGTGCACTACCCAATGTGCATTACTGTGCTTTGAATAAAGTCTTTGTGCTCACTAGAGGTGTGTAGCAAGCAGGAACTGGAAGCTTGTTTCAAACCAACAACAGTTTGTCTTATGAAACAACTGTTTGGTAAAGAACTGCTTATCCTTTAGGTTGAGGGGACCTCTGGAGATCATTTGGACTAGTTACCCACTCATACTGGTGCCACCTTCAAAGTTAATGCAACTTGCTTAGTCTTTGAAGTTCCAGTTTTGAGAATCTGTGAAGATAGAAGCTTTTCCAGGTCATCACATAGCTAGGAAATAAACCACATGCTCACCTCAGTTACATTATTCAGCTTGGCATCCTCTTCTCTAAGTAACATTATCACAAAAAAAGGAAGCAATATTTAATGCAATGCAGGTATAAAAACACCTGTTTATTGTTTCATCAACTTTTTGATTTTGGGTTCTGATAGATTTTTTTTTTTCCTTCCCTACATAGTTACTGTTTGACAGGATTTTTCATTTGTTAGCACAGAATAGAGAGGTTTACTGTGTCTTAATTTTCCAGAATGACCTGAATTGGTAGACTTGTGCCATAAAACACATATAAACACTGCAGTAGAATTCTATTATGTAAGTGTTTTAATGATTTCTTGTATGCAAAGGATGGTAATATTGCCACCTACTGTTCAGAAATGCATTGGTTTTGCAGAGCATCCCACCATTGCAGGTGTCTGAAACAATGAGTACAATGGTTTGGTTTCGTCTTATACTTTCAAAACCTTTGAAGGCTTTTCCTTCTCCTTCCTTTTCCTTTTTTTGCTTTAAGCAAATGCTTCAACCTTTCTCTATTATAAAATAATATTAAATGCTTCTTATGTGTTCACCCAAACATCTGAATTTGAACACCATCTATTAGTGTAACCTTTGCTATTTTTGTAAGTCTTTACAAATTAAGAACAAGTGTATAATATTTGAGATACATTCACATACTTAACTGTGAGCACCTTTTTTTCCTCAAATGACTTTTTCATGGTTTGGAAGTTTTGGTTCAGATATGACCATAGTCTTGAGGATTGTAAAATTGATTGATGGATCACTGTTGTTTTCCAGTGACAAAACTGTCCTTTGTTGTGGTAAAATAAAAGAGTTTCTTACCCTTTATGACATTTAGTAAATAGTGGATGAACTGTCAAGAGAACATCTCTGCTAATGTTCAGCTCTTCTTTAGAAAATAATCTTTTTACCCAAGAGCAATTCTGTGATGCAGATCATCTTCAGGAAAAACTTGCTCAGTATCTGTAGACATCTACTTGTTCCTGAAGAAATCTACAGTTCTGTTTTTCTTGTGTGGACTTTGGGATGTACTCCAAGGGAATGGTTTTACATTTTAGTATTCAAGAGAGGCAGCAGCTCAGTATTTTGTTTTTGCAAATGCACTGCTGTTGTGCTAACAGCACAAGGGATGAATATCTTTAATTTCTAAATGAGTTGGGCAAACAGCAAGCTGCTGCAAAGAATTTCTGAGATTGCAGCCATTTTGAAAATCTGGTAGTAAAAGCAAACAGGAAGCATATATATATATATACACACACACGTACATATGTGCTTACACAGTGTATTGGTAAGGAACAAATAGCCTGTTCTGTCATAGAAGTGTATGAAATGTCAAGAGTTTAGGAGTACAGGGCTGGCCCTGCCATTCATTAATCTGATTGATTTTTTTTCATTTAGCTTTAAATTGGAATTTTGGGGGTAAATAATTCTTGTTTGCAAAGCAATTTAACAGTCGAGTAATTTTTTAGCGCTGTATTTTACACAGATACTACTGGTAGCTTTGTTTTATTTATTTTCGTTGCTGAATCTAGTATTGCAGAGCAAATGGGAAGGATGATCTTATGGGTGCGATGTTGTGGCATGTATATGATCCAAGCACAATAGTTCCACCATATATTTTTGGATGGCAGCCTGTTTTCTCCATGTCTCCATTTTGTGAGCCTTGGCTCTACTGTATCCTCTTTAAGCGCCCATGACAATAGGCACTTCAGATTAAGTAATAATTATTCTTAAATACCTGAAGCTAGAGAGTCCCATCCATCTTTTCCCTAACTTGCTTAACCAGGGAAACAGCTAAATGTAATATTCTTCTGGCAGACAGATATTCTTCAATTGCCTCCCTCAAGCTGATGATCACTTACTTTGGTCCATCTGCAAAGCAGATTTGAGATGTTGCGTTTATTTTAAAATAATCAGATTCAGTTAGGTAATGTTTTTTCCTCTTACAGGACTACTTTTGGAATTCTTCTCCACTAGTTTGTTTCAGTAACTGTCACACATTTGTCATACTGAGTGCCAATATATGCCAAAGGAGTGATGTATTCAGTGATGCACAGCTCATAAAGTATTTTCTGAATACTTGGTACTGAGGGAAATACAACCAGTAATAATCTTGCTTTTGGGTGGGAGGTGCTGGTGGAAAGATAGTTTGTTTTCTCTAGCTTTTAAAAATATATATATATAAAATAATTCTGGAGGAGCTCCGGACATGTTTGTACCAAGTTTGTACACCTTGGGAGATACAGACAAGCTGTATTTTCTGTGTGACCTAAAGTACAGGTTTCTGAATGTAAACTTTTCATTATTTTTTTTCCTGTGCTTTTTCCTTCAGCTTTTTATTACAGCAGTTTTATGCTCGCTGTTTAAAAGAAAAAAAGATAGCCATAAAATTCTATATTATACTGTTTTTCTTTCTAAACAGCTTTATTGGACACTCACTGGGTAATCTAATAATCCGTTCAGTGCTCACAAGACCTCGATTTAAGTATTACCTCAACAAACTTCATACCTTCCTGTCTCTGTCTGGACCACACCTTGGTACCCTCTACAACAGCAGTGCTCTTGTTAATACAGGTAAGGTATTCTTTTCAGTAGTATAAGTTCAGGGGATATTTTTGTCTTTGAAGTGCACTTAGGAGTTTCATATGGGTGCACATCTGCATTACTGTGATTATGAAAAAGCACATGTTTCCCTGTCATAAGGAGAGAGAAGGGTTATAAAAGCAAAGTGTCCATAGAAGGATATGATTGGCACAAGAAGGTTTCCCGTAAGTTTGATTCAGGTTTTCTATTACGCTATAAAGAAGCTCCAGTTTTAATGCATTGAGCTCAATTCATTATAAGCTGAGTTTTAATCTGCAAAACAAATAGGTAAGATGCATTAAAATAATTCTGCATTGCTAACAGTCTCTCTTTTTTCTCAGAAATGTCCTGCAGTAAACCTTACAACCTGCAGTGTTTTTCTGCAGACATGTTTGTACCTTGGAAATGTCTTTTCCTAAAGATTACATGTAGCTCTAGGAGAACTAGTAGAAACGGCTGAGTTTTGAAATAAATGTTAGAAAATATTTTCAGGTAGTATCAATATTTAAAATAAAAACTTGTTTCTAAGATTGCCACCTATCTCAGAGAGCCCAAACCAGAAATGACTAACACTTATTTTTAGTAAATACAAACATGCTCATTAAACCCTTAAAAAACACGCTAAAAATCATTATTTACTTTATTTAGTGCCAGTCTATTGATTGATTGTTTTATTATTTGGTGTCATACAAAAATGAAGAAGAAAAACTTTTAACTCACATGTGTTAAACTTAAGAAAAGTGGAAAGGAAATGCTGGCTAGCTGGAATTAATGTTGGAGCTTACAGAAGCCAGGAGAACATGAGAGCTCTTTGAATTAGGTTGAAATTACACCATATATAGCCCTTAATACACTACCAGTGAGGTTCACCTCAGGATTAAGTCATCTCCAGTATCATTCAATATGGGACCTACTGGATGTATATCTGTGGATAGTTTCTTTCATGCATTTTAATCTGTAACTGAGAATCCTCCAAATCACCCGGAAGTGTTTACATGACTTTCCTTTTAGAAATTGAAGTTTTCCAGGATACAAAGAAGCAGGGCTGTTGGCTTGTTTATATAATCGCCAGCAAATGGCTTTCAGTTAACTAAGGTTAAAATGACCAAAGTTTAATCCAGAATATATTAACTGAAAAAAAAATAATCTCTTGTATAGTAAGAATGTACAGATGTCCTTTTTATATAATAGTTTTCGTCTGCACATTTCAAACTGTAACATTTTGGAAAATACCAAAACAATAATAAGTAATGGTTACTAAAGTCTAAATTACTATGTTGTATGTATACATTCATGACCTACAATACATTTCTTTAGTAATAGGCAACTATTTCCTTCAGTGTTGAATCAACACATTCTTGAGGCTGTAAGGGCTTTGTTGCTTGCTTTTCTTTTGCTTGGCAAGGTAGAGAGTGTATTTTCTGAAACACTAAGTTAGCCACCTGGCTTTGCTCATTGACTAATAAAGAGTGTACAGCATCATACAAAATACACTACTGTGAATTGCCTCCCAGAAAATTGTTTCCTTTATTCAAGTCATATTTCATTAATTCAGTGGTTCTGTAAAGTTATTTTTAGAAATCTGAGAAGTAGTACTTCTTTTGTGTTATATATTTCAATGTCAGAATGCTCTAATATTCTGTAGATTATTGAAATAGAGTTTGTCTGTTGCCTTATGGCTAACTTACTAATGTGTTTTCACGTTTTTGTAGGTGTAGTTATTTTCTCTAGAAAAGCGTGTACATTAGTGGAAATTATGGTCTTCATGCTTTGTTATATATAGAAGGGAAATAATAATGAACAAAGATTTTAAATGTTTCTAAGCTTGACAGTGCAGATATGAAAAATGAAACTTAATACCTGAGGAGCTAAATATATGCACTTTATGTATGTTTACTTATGTTTAATTACTTTTCATATTTTATTGTGGATCTATACTTAAGTTGTACCTCATCACACAGGTCTGTGGTTTATGCAGAAGTGGAAGAAATCTGGTTCTTTACTGCAGTTGACGTGTCGAGACCATTCAGATCCACGACAAACATTCTTATACAAACTTAGTAAAAAAGCAGGTAAGCTTTGTTAATACTTTCTGTCTTTTAAAGGCCACTGTACATAAATCTGAATAGGAAAGCTAGGGAAAAAAATTTCCAGCAAGGTTCTGTTTCAGTTTATGTAAGAGTTATCTATCTATCTATCTATCTCAGCTTCCTTTTGAGCCACTGCAGCTAAATAATTTCAGTGTGGTAAGTCAAGTATGTATACACTCATTTAGGATTACCTGTTTCTGTATCTGTTTTTCTATCTATTCTGTAAATGTAAAAATTCTGTGTTTCAAGTTTTAGCTATGCTGACCTCTCCTTCCTCAGTAAGATGGTCAGGGAAAATAAGAATTCATTTTGACAAAGGAAAGAGAAGTTGTACTTAGCATAATAACTGAATTACAAATGTAATTCTTCATACTGTGACATTCATACATGTTTCTGTGGTTGGAATATTCTTATTTCAGCTGTCGGTTGAGAGCCAGTTTTGGCAGAAAATGTTCCATTTGGGGGGTAGTTTCTATTAGGCATTATAGTGTTATTGAAGATTCATCTGAGAGCTACTTTTAAGTGTGTGTCAGGCAGGCATTTGTGGAGCCAGAGAGGCTCATGGTGTTTTGTGAAAAATCAGAGCACATTTCTCTGTAAAAATATTTTTTAGGGTGACACAGCTGAGATTTTGTTGAGACCAAACTGGCCCAAAGATATGGGCAGGAAAAGACTAACATCTAGCTCTTGAGATGTTTGAATAAAAAAACTTACAGGACTTGGAAGCAGAAAAGAATAAGGAGCAAGAAGAAAAATCATGGATAAGATAGAATCTTGATAAAAAATTGACTTCAGAAAAATTTTAAGTTTTCTGTTAAAAATCTATCACAAAGCGATTTTATTGCTGATAAGGTGATATTTAAGGCTGAACTGGTATCTAAAGATGAACTGTGAAGTTAAAAATAATTGAAACAACTGGACTACCATCAACTGAAGTGTTGTTAGTGTAGCTTTTTTGTCTTTTGTAAATAAATGTTTAATCTTAAACAGAAGTTATGAGCTTCTGAAAAGTAACACAGTTGATGCTGGGTAAGACTGTAGGACCTGTAAATGTTAAAATCACATTAATCCATTTGCTGTAAAGAATTTTATATTGCTTGGGTTTATGTGTATCTATCTCAACATGACTAAAAACACTGTTACTTGAGTACTGTTGTAAATTCTAGAAATGTCATCTTTTCTTATAACAGACCTCTCTAGATAACAGGCTTTTTAAATTCTGGAGTGGTACCAGTTAATTCCAGAAATTCTGCAATCATGAACACATTTCTGGCAACTCTTTCTCAGTGCTGGTTCTATCACAACAATACATCTAGAAGGATCTATGACAAACATTTTTACCAATCTTGCGTATTCCTCCCCATCTGAGGCCCTGATGGGCTTCATGGCTGGATATCACCTCAGTCCTTTGGATCTCATAGTCAGAAGCAGCATCAGTCAGTTTCTCTGCTGCTGCCAAAATTTCTGGGATCTTTTTCTTTCCAGAGATCTCTCTCAAAAGAATGTGTTCTGGGTGGAGTTTTAATGCTTTAATGGGAACAGCTTGCAGAATTCCATCAGGAGAAGCAGGTTTTGTAAGTGACATTGCAAAAATAACTGTATTTTGAGCATATGCAAATTTCTCACCTAACAATAGGTTCAGACCTTTTAAAGAACCTTCACAACTGAAAATTAAAATTTATAAATTATATCATTAATAAATCGCTCACATCTATGTGTAGGGATTTAGTGACACATGTTGTGGAATTTGCACATCTCTTGACTTCTCTTTCCACTGGAATATTTTCTACAAGTGATAACTGCACCTTTCTGGCATCAAAAAATCAGCTAAATTATGAAATGCCAACTGATTTTTGGCACATCACCAAATTAATGATAATCAGAAGGTTTTTCTTTTAAGGGATTAAGGAAGGATATGTATTTAATCAACATATTCAAATACATAATTGATTCCAATTGGAACACATAATTTTTGTGGAAGCAAAAGGCAGTAGCTCCAGTGAAACTGAAGGTGCTTTCAGATGTAACATGAGCACTGTCCCAAGCACTTCTCCCAGCTTTTCTAACTCACCTTGTTTTGTGCAAGGTAAACAAAAGAAGCTCTCAGTTGTTTTTTTTCTCCTTTTATTCAACTCTTCAATTAGAATATTTTGTTTCTTACCTTGCCTACATTTTATACTCGGCTAGTTATGTTTTTCATTAAAATTAACAGATTCCAGGGAGTCCAGGAAAATAAACTGTAAATTCTTGTTTCGTAGCTATTACCAACCAACAAAGCTGCAGTTTCTTGTTCATGGTACTTAAGATGGGTTTTTTATGGGTTCAGAGACCCTGCCTTATATATTAAGAAATTAACAGTGAGATAACAGTTTCATTTATACGAAGGCTGGTTTTGATGTTCTGATCATCTAAGAAAAATGTCAGTGACATTAAACATTTGGCTTTAGTTTGGTTCCAGACAGGACTTTCATGTGCAAATATTTTGTTCAGAATGCCAGTACACTTCTCAGTACTAATATTAAAAACCAAGCCCAGTTCCATCAGTTGGTCTTTGCCTGCAGAAACTTGAGCTTGTAATTCATCTGAAACAACATTAACTGAAGACCCTGGAGGTGGATTGCAATTTGTTATAAATTGTGATTGATCATTTGCAATTAAGGACTTGGTGAGTAGACTGACTCCAAAACTTCAGAAATAACTCATTCTCTACAATGAATAATGATATGTGTCAGACACATGGCCTGCTGAGACTGCCTTTCATAAAGCAAACCTCAAAATGGGTTCTTTTGATCCCAGTTATGAATTGTTCGCTCACTGACAGGAGTGGTTCCTGTAACAAACTTTGGACCTGCAAGTTTTTCTACTTCTGAACTTCTGTTTAAGTTCCATTTATCAGCCTAGAATATGCCCACATTAGAACTCAGGAATGCATTCAGAAGCAAATCTCTTCATGATCCCTATTTACTTCCGAACACAATGAATGAGCTTCGGCATCCAGTGCACACTGCATCCGCAGGACCAGACAAGAGCTAGTCCAAAGTAAACTCTACTGAAAATGGGTGTTAGAATGGATGAGGGGTTCTTAATATCAATGAGTTTGCTCTACAGTTCTGTTCCTCTTACGCCACAGAGTTCACAAATGGTAATGTACAGCCCTAGGCTCTTCCACATTCCTGTGTCTTAGCACTTCCACAGGTCTTGATCAGCGGAATTCTGATATGCTTGCTTATTGCCTTATCTCCCCCCTTTAAAAGTGTGCATTTTCCTAATCTCTGAAAGGAGGAAATTATCTTGTTTAGATTTAGTTAAAGGGCAGGGGTATGAAATTTTGCATCATCCTTCTTATTATACAAGTTTCAGAATATCAGCAGCCTGTTGTACCTGGGGCTCCATCTCCCATTCCTTACTTGGACGTTGGTGATAGCTAGAGGGCAGACTTATCCTCTAATTCTGTTGTATGAATGTATGTGAAAAATTATTCCTCTGTGCTTGCTGTTAGTGTCTATACCGACTGTTTCAGACCGATTTTTCCACTTGACATATTATTTGGAAAAATTGTCAATGAATTTATCGACATAATGAATTCAGTAATGACTAGTGCTGTTATTCACTGGTGGACATGAATGGCAAAATGGTTAAATGGTAGAAATTGTGCTCTCTGTGTGCTTAAATTCACTTAGAGATTGAAGTTCTATTAGTTGGTAACAATCATGATAAAAATTTGGAAAGCCCATTAAAGGTTTGTTACTACGGAAAAGAACGTTCTGTTATGTGGGACAAAGCTTGTTATTTCAGCAGTGATCTTTGACCTGAATTGTTCTTTTCTCAAATCCTGTTGAAAAATTTAGACAATACTTTCTAGTTAATGACAGCCTTTTTTTTTTTTTTTAGAATACTCCACAAAAATTTACAATCTATTCAGTAAATGATGTGATCAGTTCAAATCTATTTTGGTCTGATAGAGATAAGTTTTAATCTTTCAGCATTTTTGCCTAACTACAACAATCTGGAGATGTTGAGCTAATTAGATTTGGGAGTTTCTTGATTCAGCAGCTGAAAATTTTGCTGCACAAGAAGAAATGGTTCATTAATTATTTAGAATAATGTTCAGTTTGGTTTTTTTTTTTTATACTTAGAGGATACATGACAGATCTTGTATTACAGTATGGTGTGAATCATAAAGATGTGGGTCATGGATTAACTCAGCTACATACTTGTTCACAGTTTATGCCTGATTTTGTAATTTAATTAAAGGCAGAATGTATGTAGTCTGAGAAGTAGATGAAAGAAAAAAATGTCAAGATGAATAGCGGGACAGTTTTTACTGCTACCTAAATGAAAGACAGTGATAAGTTGCTTCTTTGTCCACAAGTACATTTAATTGAGGCACAGTTTAACACTGCACACTTCCATATTAGAGAGGATTCTGTGCCTGTGTCTTGACTAATAGACCAGCCCATAGGCTGTCTGAAGAGCAGACAGGATGTTGTTAAACACCGTGGAGTTCCTTTTCATTGACAAATGGTTTGAGTTACCTCACACTGCAGAAATCCAAGGGGTTCCCAGGCTCTGCACATTTATATACACCATTTTGACTCCTCTTTTTCCCATCCTTATAGTCATATGTGGTCTATATGTATCACATGAACTATCTCAGAACAAACAAAGATGTAAGACTTGGACTTTTTTCTTCAAAATAGGCACAAAGAGCCATCCAAAGTAAAAACACCCAAGACTTGTCAATAAAACTAATGCTTATAAAATACCGCAGATGCCTTCTTCGCTCCTACTGAAGACTTTTCTCACTTTTTCGTAATGAAAGATTCCTGACATTTATCATGCCTAAAAATAAGCCAAAGACATTATTTTTATGAGCCAGAATTCATCGCATGTGAGGATGAAGAGAGCCTATTTAGACATTGATTGATGTAGACTGGTGTTCCTCTAAAGATTCCCCAAGACATCTCTTCTTTCTTCAGGTCAATCAAAAGATCTAGGCAGTCTCGTTCTTTGTACCTTTTACATGAATGCTAGAGAAAGTTGGGCATCAAAAAAACTTAACATAAGATAGAGAAATTCCCCAGGAATTTACAAAACTATTACAGATTAGCCTCCAGAGAACTCCTGTTCTTGATTTAATCCATATGCATTCCTTTCAACTCAGTACAAAGTTTTGGAACTGGCATCTGCATGTTCGTGCAAGATTTGCTGCGGTCATTTTTCATCAGATGTCAAAGAAAAGACTCCAGTGATTTAGCTGATCTTTTGAGACTGTTGTTTTTCAGTGGGCACAGGCAAAAAAATCCCAAACCTATTTCCTATTTGAAGAGGACAGGAACCAAATACATTTTCTGTATCTTTTCAGAGACTTAGAGAGTTCATTATATTTTTCAATTTTCTGTGAAGTCTGGGAGGATCCATTTACTTTTTCACCTGCTAGAGTTGTTCAGCATCATTTCTGTAACTAATTTGGTTTGGAGATGTAGTCTTCATCCCATGGAGTGTACAAAATACTGAAAATTAAGAAATAACCTCTGAAAAAAGGAAAAGTTTTGACTTTGGTCTCCACTGACAGCTTCAATATATGTGCTAATACTTAGTATATATTCAGTCTGAACACAACAGGGAAATGAGAATCCAGAACTTTGTCCCAGCAGTATAGCTTTTGAAAAGCAGATAACAAATAATTTATTTTTCCTACACAATCAAATATCTTCTTTTAATGAAAGAAGAGTTTGATTTTTGGACGTAAACACAGAAAATGTTTGCTGCAGATTCCAAGAGGTACCCTTGAAGAGCGACTTTATTTGTAGCATTTCTGTAATTCTCAGAATGGACTATGTCAATTTTTGTAAATGAAAAACTAACCATTACAGAATCTGACTATTATTCTCCAGAAAGTAAAAGCAGGGCAAAACTGTTAAGCACTGGTGCAAATAGGTTTGGATTAAAACTACCATGGATATGATGTAAGCAACTAATACCTAGGGGATTCTCAGACAGCCTAAGTTGGCAGCTTTTCAGTATAGCTTACCTTCACCTGCTTAAACTGTTTGAGTATTTTCTGGGTTTGCCTGACATTTGCCTTGATATTTAACTGTAGATGGGTATGATATTCAGAAGTGGCTGTCTAAGGCAAAGTCAACCCATTTTCCTAAAATGCTTTGTTGGATTTGGTCTGAGGTAGATGAGCTGCACCAGAAACCTGCTGAAGCTTTCTAGAGAAAACGTAATTACATGTCTTACAGACTGTATTCTCCATCATTACTGGGGGTTTCTACCTTTGCATCATCTTAGTGCTAGAGTGCTTGTCCAAGAAGTAGGAAGCTGGGTTTAATTATCAAGGTTTAATTATATTTGGAGTGTTGTGTTGGATGGACCCTGCACCTCTGCTGAAGCTGAGCAAGCCTTGAGTGAGGCAGTGCCTAATAGAGGCACCTACATACTCTAGGTGGGCTCTGTTGTGTACTTGTTGGTGCTAGGCATTAATCCTGCTGCAGCCAGGCTGCCCACCAAAACATCAGAGAAGGAACTATCCATCTTCAGGTTTCTTTAAGCGATGCAGAGGCTTTACTCTGTTCCGCCAGCCAGAAAACCACTTTATTCCTAAGAAGCACAACAAAGGTTTGAACTATACTCTGTTTAAATGGGAAACATCACAATTGGATGTCAAACCTGTATGTATTAAAATACGTGCAGAGGAAAGGTCAGTATCCAACATTTTGTTATTCTGTAGCTCTACCTACTGTAATTTATTTTTCTGCCTTTTTTCAAGATCTTGTAATAAAATTGTGCTAAATTTCAGTTGTAAAGTGTTTAATTACTCTGTAGTAATTGTCAAGGGATTTGTTATGATAGATACCTTTTTCTCTTTCC